ATACAGGACTTTTTTCTCATGCTAGAGCTCTTCAGCAGAGCTCTGCGCAGCAGAGCTCTGCGCATGGTCTGCCCTGGAAGAGCATTGAACCAACATGCTTACTTTGAGAGGAGGCGCGTTTGTCATTGGTGATGACAAAACACACCTCCTCTGCCCCGCCCCCTTTTTAGTGGGCCGCTGTGTTAAAAAAATGCCCGGGCCGAATTTTTCTCCCAGTCCGGCCCTGGCTGCCTAAAATGCATTCAACTAACTCTTTCCCTGAGAGGATGACCGCAGACCACTGGATAAATGAGGCCAAGCCAGCACTAAGCCTCTTTCCCCAAAGACCCAGTAAGTAGCATTTACATAAGGTGACTACCAGGGCAGTGGCATAGTTAGAGGGTGGCGGAGAGGTAGGTCCACCCCAGGCGGCACTCTTTGGGGGTGGCAATTTTCACATGAGACACAGGGCTGATGTATCCATAAGGCAGCTTAGGCAGCCTTAGGTCGCAATGTCCAAGTGACCAACAGGAGGGGAGCGCACAGTGCTCTTCTACTGCCGGTCAATTCATGTAGCATAACCAAGCTCCACCAGCACCTCCGGCCTACAGGCTCTGGAGCATGCCGCAGGCTGTTTGAAGGAGGCGGGGATATAAATCACATCATATCCCTGTATTCCTCACAGCGCGGCTGGCGTGCCAGTGCCTTAGTGATGAGGTGAGTTGCAGGATTATTTTTGGTGTGTATTAAGAGGGGTGGCAAACTCAGGGACTGTCCCAAGTGGCAAAAGTATGTCCAAGGCCTGTTTCAAACCTTCCCTTCAGGATGTCATTTGTTGAAATTCCATTTGCTGCTGAAATTCAGGCCTGCAGGAGTTCATCTGTCTTCATGATTGTTTAGTTTGGTTTCCCACCAAAGGTAAGTACGTTAATAGTTTAGATTAAAGATTACTATAAATACCTTGATTTCTGTGCTATCATTCCCTTTCACTTGCTTACAATGGGCTTCCTTCGAACAAACAGGTCACTTTTAATAAGTTTTTGTTGATCATTTAGGTAAGTGCATACGTCTAATGATGCATTTTACAAAAGAGTGCTGATAATGGATATCCTGGCTCCATAAAGTCTGCCTGAATACCACAGAAAGGGTCTGTTTGTATATCATTTTGGAGTTTGAGTGCAGGGGTTTGTATGGAATGTTTTTTTGCAGGGGTGTGTTTGCATGCTGTGCTGCTGTTTGCTGTGATGTGTGTACATACACTACCACATATATAAATACTTACACAGATATACATACACATTAACACATAGATACACATAGATACACATACACACACACTCATATACGTGCTGACACATACAAACACATAGATAGACATACAGATGCACACACCGATACCATAGGCGTGCACAGCCTATTGCATTAGGGTATGCACCCTAAAGCACAAGCACAGGCCGCGTGTACATAGGCATGCGCAGCCTATTGCATTAGGGTGTGCACCCTAAAGCACAAGCACACGCCGCATATATATATATGTATGTATGTATATATATGTATATATATATATATATATACATATACACATATATACACACATACACACACTGCTGTGTGTGTGTGTGTGCTGTGTGAGGGTGCTGTTAGTGTGATGTGTGTGTAACAGTGCTGGTAGTGTGCTATGTGGGTGTGTGCGCGCTTGTGAGGGTGCTGTTAATGTACTGTGTGTGAGGCTGCTGTTTGTGGGTGTGTGTGCGCTTGTGAGGGTGCTGTTTGTGTGTGAGGGTACTGGTAGTGTGCTGTGTGTGTGTTTGTTAGGGTCCTGTTTGTGAGGGTACTGTTTGTGTGCTGTGTGTAAGGGTGCTGTGTGTGTTTGTGAGGGTGCTGTATGTGTGAGGTTGCTGTATGTGTGTGTGGGTGCTGTATGTGTGTGGGTGCTGTATGTGTGTTGGTGCTGTATGTGTGTGGGTGCTGTGTATGTCTGTGGGTGCTGTGTATGTGTGTGGGTGCTGTGTATGTCTGTGGGTGCTGTATGTGTGTAGGTGCTGTGTATGTCTGTGGGTGCTGTATGTGTGTAGGTGCTGTGTATGTCTGTGGGTGCTGTATGTGTGTAGGTGCTGTGTATGTCTGTGGTGCTGTATGTGTTTGGGTGCTGTATGTGTGTAGGTGCTGTGTATGTCTGTGGGTGCTGTATGTGTGTGGGTGCTGTATGTGTGTAGGTGCTGTGTGTGTGTAGGTGCTGTGTATGTCTGTGGGTGCTGTGTATGTCTGTGTGTGCTGTATGTCTGTGGGTGCTGTATGTGTGTAGGTGCTGTGTATGTCTGTGGGTGCTGTATGTGTGTTGGTGCTGTGTATGTCTGTGTGCTGTATGTGTGTGGGTGATTGTGTGGGGTGGAGGTGGGGGTACATTACTTGATGTCCCCCCTCCCTTCCTACCATATGCCTGGGAGGGGGGATCCTTGTTGCTGCTGCTTCCATCCCTGGTGGTCCAGTGGAGAGTGAACTCTAGCCCCAGTGACAATGCTCATATCTCGGGAGAGGAACCCGGCGGAGCTGCCGGCAATAGCTCCCCGGGTCCTCTCCTGCCTCCCTCCCTGCATGTGGGTCGGTAGGGAGGGAGGCTGAGAGCAGAGCCGGCGCTCGGATAGCGCCGGCTCTGCATGAGCCAACAGGGGGCATCCTGAGATCTCCCCTGCCGGTCTCAATATACATAGGCGTGCCACGGGGATTAGGGTGTGCCCAGGAACACCCGGCACACCCCGTGCGCACGCCTATGTGCTGCCTATTATAACAGCGGCTGCCCACGACCCCTAAACTAACACTGTTGGTGTCAGGGGTCCACTTGCAGCACTCACCCTCAGTCCATCGCTGCCCGCGGTCTCCCCTCCTCCTACCTGTCGGCAAGTGGCGTCTTCCCTCCGCTGCGCGCCGCTCGCATCCTCCTCCATGCCTCCCAGCGGCAGCATGTATAACGCTGCATGCTGGGAGGTCGCACATTTATGCAAACGCTGGGGTCACTCGCGTGACCCGGCGTTAAAGCAACAGTACCACAATCACAGTGGGAGGCGTAGATATCTCCCACGTGTGATTGTTAATTCTGATTGGAAGTTATCCAATCAGAATTAAGCAAAGGATATTTATACTTACCTTTCCTGTCTCTCAGTGCCCTGTTGTGGTCTTGTGATACCTGTATTGCAGTTTGCTCGTGTTTCTCTCTGGTTACTGATTATTTGGCTCGTTATTCCGATTTTCCTGTATTCTCCACTCCTTTGACCTCGGCTTGTTTCTCGTTCTCCCGTTTTCTGGCTCCCTTTACTTGGCTTGTCTCCTGACTATTCTTAGTGTGCTTAGCCCGGCCACTCTAAGGACCGGTATAGCATCCTTCCTCTCTCTGACCTGTTAGCGTGTTAGGTTCCGGAATCGTGACATTACAACAGGGCTACCATGGAACCTGCTGACGTTCCACAGCTGTTAGTAAATCAGAAGGCTAGAATGGATGGTTTAGACCATCGTATGGATCAGTTTGCCCAGGCTTTACAAACCATACTGGTTCGTACTGCCCACTTGAAACCTGCCGTTCAAGAAGCTGTTGCTGTTGTGCCAGAACCCATTCCCGATCCAGTACCCGCTCCTGCTCACGTGGTTCACATGACGCCACCACAGCGCTATAGCGGTGATCCAGCATTGTGTCGTGGTTTCCTCAACCAAACTGATATTCATTTGGTGATGAATCCTCCTTCCTACCCCACTGATAGAACCAAAATTGCTTTTTAATCAACCACTTGTCCGGGAAAGCTCTAGCATGGGCTAATCCCATGTGGGAGAATACGTTCCCAATGTCCTTTGCAGACTTTTTGACAGCTTTTAAACGTACATTTGATCAACCCGGCAGGGTTGCTTCTGCTGGCAAAGCTCTGCTTAGGGTCCGACAGGGTAATAGATCTGTAGCGGATTATACTATTGAATTCTGCACTCTAGCAGCTGAAGTGGTTTGGAATAACGACGCCCTCGTAACAGCCTTTCAGGAGGGTTTGGCCACTTACATACTAGATGAAATAGCATCCAGGGAATTGTCGGTTCTTCTGGATAATGTAATAGATTATATCATTCTTATTGACAACCTTATTAGAGAGAGGTGTAGTCAAAGAAGGATGAATACATAGGGGTTACCTGCTTTACCCAGTACTGCATTACTAGCATTACCTCCCCCTAATCAACCATCTCCCGAACCCATGCAATTGGGTGCTGTAGGCTTAACTGAAGCTGAAAGAACGTATCGCAGAAGGGAGGGCTTGTGCCTTTATTGTGGAAAAAGGGGGCATCTCCAAAGAAACTGTCCTAGTTTGCAGGGAAACTACAGCACCTAAGGCCTAGAGAGGGGTCGGCCTCGGGTGTTATGGTTTTTTCCCCTCATGTGTCCATCTCCAGACCATTTATTACGGTCACTCTTTTGGTCACTCAAACCACTATAACAACTAAAGCCTTGATCAATTCAGGTGCTGCAGACAACTTTATGGATGAGAACTTTGCTAAAACCGCAGCCTTGACTCTGATCCAAAAGGTCACACCCTTGGCCGTTGAGGCTTTAGATGGGAGACCACTTGATAAACCTCTGGTGACCCATGAAACCCAAGAAATGGTTATGGCCGTGGGTGCCTTACACAAGGAAAGGTTAACCTTCCAAATAATTGACTCCCCTACAGCTTCCATCATTCTGGGCTTTCCCTGGTTAGTTAAACACAACCCGGTGCTTGATTGGGGTTGTTTAGATATACTCTCCTGGGGGGAATCTTGTCAACAAGACTGTATGGCCCGTCTACGTCCCGTTTGCTTACTTAATGTGCCTACAGCTAAACCACTTTCTGTTTCTGTCCCTCCTGTGTATGCAGACCTTGCATTGGTCTTTGAAAAAATGGAGGCTGATAAGCTACCCCCACACCGGGATTATGATTGTGCCATAAACCTGTTACCTGGTACTATGCCCCCAGGGCCGGCGCTACCTATAAGGCGAACTAGGCAGCCGCCTAGGGCACCATATAGGAGGGGGCGCCCTGCGCCCCCATCGCCAGTCCTTTAAATGTAACAGCCGCCTGAGCGCTCTGTAGAGAGCGCTCAGGCGGCTGCCGCACTGCCTCACCTGCCTCACTGTAGCGTGGCCGAGCTCCTTTCCGGTCCGCGACCCAACCGGACTGACAGGAAGTGCACACTGAGTGAGGGGTGGTAAGGACCACTGAGGGAGGGGGGGGAGATTCACTAAGGTGTTTGGGAGAGGGTGGACCACTAAGTGGGGAAAGGACCACCAAAGGGGGGTAAGTAGGGAGGACCACCAAGGAGAGGGGAGGAGGGTAAGGACCACTAAGGAGAGGGGAGGAGGGTAAGGACCACGAAGGGGGTGGGGGGAGGAGGGGAATGTCTACTAAGGGGTTTGGGAGAGGGAGGTCCACTAAGGGGGAGTGAGAAGACCAGCAAGGGGGGGACTACAGGGGGCCAAGGGAGAGCACTAAGGGACAGCAGGGAAGGGGAAATCAATAATTGACAGGAGGGTGAGCACTATGCAAAAAATTAAAAAAATTAAGAGCTACTCCCCTCTCAGTCCCTATCCTACCCCACAAACCCTCTCTTTTACACTACACACATACACACATACACAATGCATCCCCCCCCACAAACACACACACAGAAACATACAATGCATTCCTACTCACACACAGACACACCCGAAACACACAATGCATCCCTTACGTTCACACAAACTCATTCTCTTACACACAGAAACAAAATGCATCTCTTACACAATCAATGCACCCCTTACAGACACACACTGCATTCAAATCTTTCTTTTGCCTAGGGCGGCAAAAATCCTTGCACCGGCCCTGTATGCCCCCTAGGGGTAAGGTCTACCCGCTTTCTGAGAAAGAAAACCAGGTCATGGAGGAATACATACAGGAATCCTTACATAAAGGTTTTATCAGAAGGTCCTCCTCTCCGGCTGGTGCTGGTTTCTTTTTCGTTGCCAAGAAAGAGGGCGATTTGAGGCCATGTATAGACTACAGGGGTCTGAATAATATAACAATTAAAAACGCTTATCATATCCCTCTCATCACTGAGTTGTTTGACCGTGTTAAAGGTTCTAGATATTATACTAAACTAGACCTCAGGGGGGCTTATAACTTGGTTCGTATAAAAGAGAATGATGAATGGAAAACAGCGTTCAATACACGCAGTGGGCATTATGAGTATCTAGTCATGCCTTTTGGACTGTGTAATGCTCCTGCTGTGTTTCAGGACCTCATAAATGATGTCCTTAGAGATTTACTGCATGTCTGTGCCGTGGTTTATCTTGATGATATACTTGTATATTCTCCTGATTTGGAGTCACATCATGCCCATATGAGGATGGTACTTAAGAAATTGCTGCAGAACGGTCTTTATTGTAAATTAGAGAATTGTTTATTTGACCAAAAATCAGTACAATTCCAAGGGTATGTCATTTCTGAACTGGGATTCAGCATAGATCTTCAAAATTATAAGCTAAATTGTCTTGGCCTCTTCCCCAAGGCCTTAAGGCAATACAGCGATTTATAGGCTTTGCCAATTATTATCGGAGGTTTATTAAAACCTTTTCATCAGTTATTTCTCCTATCACGAAACTGACTAAAAAGGGTTTGCACCCCAGGGTTTGGACTCCTGAAGCCGTTAAAGCCTTCGAGAATCTCAAAAAGGCATTTGCCACTGCCCCTGTGCTACACCATCCTGATCCTTCCCTTCCCTTTGTTATGGAAGTAGACGCTTCAGAATCAGGTGTAGGAGCCGTATTATCACAAAGACTATCGCATACCGAACCCCTCCATCCCTGTTGTTACTTCTCTAAAAGGCTGTCTGATTCGGAAAAGAATTACGACGTCGGGAACAGGGAACTATTGGCTATTGTGATGGCTTTTAAAGAATGGAGGTACTTATTAGAAGGAGCTAGACACAAAATCCTGGTTATAACTGATCATGAGAATCTCTCCTATATAGCAGATGCTAAAAGGTTGTCCTCTCGTCAAGCCAGATGGTCTTTATTTTTTTCACGCTTTCAGTTCATTATCACATATAGGCCTGGATACCGTAATGTCAAGGCTGATGCTATCTCCAGACAATACGAACCTTTGGAGTCGATTGCCCCCGCTCCTAAACCCATTGTACCTACATCTAAGATAATAGCTGCTACCCGTTTAGTTATTTTGTCTCTTTTCCTTGATGGAATCAAGATATACCAATCCCAAGCACCCTCTGAGACACCTGTTGGTAGATTATACGTGAAAGAAAAATATAGAAAGAAATTGTTAGCTTTATTTCACACCGCCAAAACGGCTGTTCACCCAGGGGTTACCAAAACATACAAGGGTCTCCTTCAACAATTTTGGTGGCCCTCACTTAAGCAAGACGCAGTAGATTATGTGCAGGCTTGTTGTGTTTGCGCACAGTGTAAGTCCCCTAATGTTAAACCCCCGGGACTCTAATGCCTCTATCCGTGCCCAAGAAACCATGAACCCACTTATCCATGGACTTCATTGTAGATCTTCTTTCATCTGATGGACAGGCAGTAATTTTGACTGTGACTGATAGGTTCTCTAAAATGGCACACTTTATTCCACTTAAAAAACTACCTTCTGCGGTTCAGTTGGCTCAGGTATTTGCCAAAGAGGTGTTCCGCTTGCATGGTATACAACAGGATATCGTATCCGACAGGGGTCCTCAATTTGTCTCTCGGATTTGGAGGGGCTTTTGTGCTGAGATGGGGATCTCCTTGTCATTTACGTCCTCCTATCATCCACAGTCTAATGGAGCTGCCGAACGGGCAAAATCAATCTGTGGAGTTATATTTACGCTGCTTCACGAATGCGCACCAGGACAACTGGTCTCACCTCCTTCCCTGGGCTGAATTCGCCAGGAACACCATGACTCATTCGTCCACTGGCTTAAGTCCTTTTATGGTTGCTTATGGGTTCCAACCCTCTGTTCTCCCCGGAATGTTCTCCGACAAGGGAATGCCCGCTTTTGACGAGCACCTCACCTCCTTACGAAAGATGTGGGATCAGGTCCATGCTACTCTTTCTCGTGCGGCTTCTACTCAGAGGAGATTTGCTGATCGTCGTAGGGGTTCGGCTCCTTCTTATGTCCCGGGTAATAGGGTTTGGTTGTCCTCTAAGAATCTCCACCTCAGGGTCCCCTCGATGAAATTCGCGCCCAGGTTTTTTGTTCCCTATAAGGTATTGCGTAAGGTGAATCCTGTGTCCTACTCCCTGGCCTTGCCTCCTTCCATGCGTATACCTAACAATTTTCACACCTCCCTTTTGAAGCCCCTGCTCTGTAATCGATTCTCTGGTCCTCTCAGGTGTCCGGATTCCCTCCGCGCTGTCTCCAGTGACGTGTATGAAGTGGCTGCTCTGCTTGATTCTCGTATTTCTCAGGGTCGGTTGCAGTATCTGGTGGATTGGAAGGGTTACGGCCCTGAGGAGCAGTCTTGGGTTTCTGCCTCTGACTTGAATGCGCCCTCTTTGATCCGCTCCTTTCATGCGCGGTTTCCTTTGAAGCCTTCGGCTTCCCGCCCGTTGGGTGGCCCTCGAGGGGTGGGGGGTTATATCAGGGGTCCGCGGGCGGCTGTGAGGGGAGGCTGCACGCCACTTGCAGCACTCACCCTCAGTCCATCGGCGTCTCCCCTCCGCTGCGCGCCACTCGCATCCTCCTCCACGCCTCCCAGTGGCAGCATGTATAACGCTGCACGCTGGGAGGTTGCACATTTATGCAAACGCCGGGGTCACTCACGTGACCCGGCGTTAAAGCAACAGTACCACAATCACAGTGGTAGGCGTAGATATCTCCCACGTGTGATTCTTAATTCTGATTGGAAGTTATCCAATCAGAATTAAGCAAAGGATATTTATACTTACCTTTCCTGTCTCTCAGTGCCCTGTTGTGGTCTTGTGATAGCTGTATTGCAGTTTGCTCGTGTTTCTCTCTGGTTACTGATTATTTGGCTCGTTATTCCGATTTTCATGTATTCTCCACTCCTTTGACCTCGGCTTGTTTCTCATTCTCCCGTTTTCTGGCTCCCTTTACTTGGCTTGTCTCCTGACTATTCTTAGTGTGCTTAGCCCGGCCACTCTAAGGACCGGTATAGCATCCTTCCTCTCTGTGACCTGTTAGCGTGTTAGGTTCCTGAATCGTGACAGCCGGAAACTGTTTCCCAAGCGGCAAAGTGCCGCGAGTCACATGTTCACTTTCTTTTTAATTATTTAGTCTTTTCCTGCCCTTGTTTTTCATTTCATTTAATATTAAATGTCTCTTTATTTATTTATTTTATTTATTTATAAAATATTTTACCAGGAAAGATACATTGAGATTTCTCTCATTTTCATGTATGTCCTTGGTCCACAAATCATTGCATTGTTACATTAGGGTACGATAAAATACAAAAACAATATTAAAACACAATAAATACAAAATGTAACATAGAACATGTAGGAAATATATAATCAACCATGACAGGTGCATTCTGTTTTGAGGTATGTAGAGAGGGATCTCTTAAAGGACTTTAGGCTTGTGTTCTCAGTGCAGCTGTCTACTCAAGAAAATCATTCACTCCGCAACCATGTTGAAATCCGTGGCATACTCTCTGCAACAGCCACTTATATTCTCCAATATTAACTACTTATTTATTTATTTTTATTAATATTATCTCTGGTGTCAGTAGATGCAGAGTTGGTCATGGCGGGGAGACGTACAGCCCATCTAAGGTGATCATCCAGCCTACTATCGGAGGTAATATTTATGCCAAGCGTGTCGTTATATAGTGCGGCAGTTCGTCCGTGGCTGTTGCAGAGAGTATGCCACGGATTTCAACATGGTTGTGGAGTGAATGGTTTTCTTGAGTAGACAGCTGCACTGAGAACACAAGTTGAGTGGTTTGTAGTTATTGTAATGTATCTTTCATGGTGGACATATCAATTATATCCTCCTCCATTGCCCGCACTCTGTCAGTCAGATTTTACATATCTTGAGTATTTCCAGGTCTGCTGCCAGCAGTTTTTGGATGTCTTGCATCAAGTTTTCTAAGTCCTGTTTAGTAGCAAGGGCAGTATCGTCTTGGTCCGCTTTGGCTGGAAGCGGAGCACTCTGAGGTTCAGCTACGGTGTGTGCAGGGACGTATTAGCTGCGAGGCAAACAAGACATTTGCCTTGGGCGGCATTTCCCAGGGGGCGGCAAAAAACGCCGCCCTCAAATGCCCAGGGCAAAAGCGAACACCCCCCAGCATTCCCAAAGGTAAGGAGGCTGGGGGGTAAATAAAAAAAAAGTGTTAATGTGAGTGATTGTGTGTGTGTGTGTGTCTGACTGTGTGTGTCTCTGTGTGTGTGTGTGTGTTTGTGTGTGTCTGACTTTGTGTGTGTGTGTGTCTGTGTGTGTGTGACTGTGTGTGTGTGTTTGTGTCTGACTGTGTGTGTGTGTGTGTGTGTGCTTCTGACTGTGTGTTTATGTCTGACTGTGTGTTTGTGTCTGACTGTGTGTGTGTTTTTGTGTCTGACTGTGTGTGTGTGTGTCTGACTGTGTGTTTGTGTCTGACTGTTTGTGTGTGTGTGTCTGACTGTGTGTGTGTTTGTATTTAGAAGGTGGGACAGGGGGGAAGGGTTGGGTAGGAGTGGCGCGGGAGGGGAGGGTGTGTGCGCGAGTGAGCTGGAGATCAAGGTGGTGATGGGGGCTATAATAATAAAAATATGTATAATACAAAACATCTATTGTAACACCTCTGCCCTTATTCATAGGTGGGGTTCCAATATTAATAAGTGCGGGACCTAATTGACATCCAAAACCCCTACCCATTGGCCGCGATTGGGGGGTTCAAATAAATATAGAAGAGGGGGCAGATAATAACTAAAAAGAAGTATGTTGTGTATGGGTAAAAAGTATGGGCAAAGCCCAGAGCCACTACCATAAAAAAAACAAAAACATTGCCTAACTCGAATACAGTTCACTACGAATATAGAGGGGGGGGCAATTAGATAGGAATTTTCCCACACAAGTCTCGAGCCAAGTGAAATTTGCCTGGTTGGATTACAAACAAACAAATCTGAGCACTCTGACTAATTCTCCATAGTGTGGGAAAGCCCTTTAACCCTTTAAGGACCAAGCTTCTGGAATAAAAGGGAATCATGACATGTCACACATGTCATGTGTCCTTAAGGGGTTAAAGTGCTTTGCCCTCTATGTAAGCTCAGTCTGTGTGGAGTCCTCAATTTGGTGAAGTAAGATTTTTTTTTGCCCACACTTTGTTTTTGTTTTTGTTCGGTGACCCATTTTTAAAAAATTTTTTTTAAATTGTAATGGGATTTTTTTGTGTGGCCTTTTATGTTTTAACAAGAAAGAAGTTTTATAAAGAAAGAAGACATCTATATACAACAGAGCCACATGAAATGTTGTCATAAAGTAAACAAGATTATATTAACATCTGTGGCTCCAGTTGAAACATCCTGTAGGACCAGAAAAGTAGAACAGTTTACAAATGTGACTCATCAGGAATAGATAAAGACAACATCATGGACATAATCCACCTTTGTGAGCCTTAGAGGAGACTCCAGGGAACATAGGTATTTAGGTGTACCCAAAAACCTTCATGTGAGCCACCAAGTTCACATGAAGAGTTGATTATAGGTGGGTGTCTGGTTAATTATGTGAACATACATAATTTGGATCTCTAATCTATGTGCACAGAGACTATATTTACCGTTACCTGATGTCTGGAGGACATTTCTTTACTTTTATACTTAACTTTTTTAGTGTCATTCGTAAAATGTGTATTAAAATACTATTATGGGTATCACAGGTATTTTAGCTTTGAGAACATGAACAGTAGGTGAACAGGCGATCTGAGATAATAATCTGTCTTTGCTTAATAATTATTTACATATGTGGGCAGGAAAAAGGAAATAGCTAGGTGATTGGCTGACACAATGTGAGCACATGATATAAAAGCAAAGCACAAAACAAATTAAGGTCATGTATATTGATCATCCCAGTGAACTAACATACAACAATGAGTGGCTGTCCGTATATGGGAAAAAAGTTCAAGTAAGTTAAAAGTTTTCATGCAAACCAAAGACAGCAATAAATGCTTTAAAATTAGTGTTTGTGGGGTTTCTGACGCCTTCACTTTAAAATCTACTTAATATTATTTGTTTACAATTATCTAATACCATTGATTGATGATATTTTATTTATTTTTAAGTTTTACTTTTAATGAACTGTCTCTGGATGAGAGTAAAAATGGAGACCGCTCCCAAGAAGGCCTGAATAAAGCAAGCAGAGGTGGATTGATATATGGCGACTATCTACAAGTAAGTCGTAAGAACACCTTGATAAATTTCACCAGGGGTCTCCAATCCCCCCCCCACCCCCCCCCGCTCCTCCCAAGTTCTTGCTGGACTATGATTTTCAAAATTGTTTGCCAGCCAAGCACACAATGCAAACAATGTGATAAAAATCTAGAAAGACAGGGGGATTTATTCACAAACATTGCATTGTGGTGCATTTAATATGGAATTGCACAATTCAAAACCAAAAAAGCTGATCTGATCTTTTAGCATTTTAGTTAGAATCACATCTTCACATATACACAAAGCTGAAATAGTTTGACGTCTGTTTACATCTATTTTCCAAACAGTGAATTATACAAAACTGAGTTTGTCATAAATTCTTCAACTCAAGTATATTTTAACTAAGATATTTTGACACAAATTTTGCAAGTTTCTAATTTATTTTACAATCTCACTATTTCCACACCATTCTTTATTCAATGCCACTATTTGCATAATGAATTCATAACTCCTATAGTGAATAGACTTTACCTCCAGAGTTTTAGATCTGTGCAAGAAACTAAACAGTGAATTGCAATATGAGTATGCGTATTACACTTTACGAGCTTGTTTTGGTGCACCTTTATAAATCCTCTTATGGGTGGCTGACATGTGGAGTGTTTCTCTAAACCAGCAATTAGAATGTTATGCCGTAACATTTTGCAGTGAGCTGGTGACCTAAAATTCTATTTCTTTTAATGTAGAGGGAATGGGTGCCCCACAGAGGGAGATGTTATATTTTATGGAGTTTGGAATCTATGAGTATATAATATATATATTTAGGAGACTTGTCTTAATATAAGTCTTTGGATTGGAAAATGTTTTACAGTTTATTGGCTGTTGTTTGCATTACGTATTATAATATTCTACATACATATTTAAATTCATGCTTTATAATGTCCTATTTTTTATGCGTATTTCTATTATGGTGAATGGGAAATGTTTCTCTCTTTTCCCTTTTTATTCTTGCCCTAGTTATTGTCTCTGTTTAAAATTATTTTGAAAACTGTTTAAGAAAAATTATTTGAAAAGCATATTATGCTGTGCAGCTTTAAGTGCACGGTATAGAGCTGCAATTAGTTTATAGCAGCGATTGTCCATTTGTAAGTATGATGGCAAATTTAACTGTAGTAATCTTTTGTATCAATGAGCAATGGCAACAGACATAGAATGTATTTTTTAACTCCTTAAGGACACATGACGGAACTATTCCGTCATGATTCACTTTTATTTCGGAAGTTGTGTCCTAAAGGGGTTATTAATATGGCAGTGTCTGATTGTAATTGGACTTACCGTTTCACCCTTCCAAAGTTGACAAAAGATGATCCATTAACCTGTATCATATTGTTTCAATATCTATATACTGGTTATGATTATTTACTGAAATGATTATTGCCAGGAATTCAAATTGAAGTCAAATTAAATTTCAAATTGTAGATGAAAATAGCCAAGTGGAAGTATTCACTTCCTGACAATTCTCACTAAAGTAAAATACTCCTGTCAGTGTCCCTTAAAATAAATAAATAATCCCTATCATGTCAACTGTCAGGATGTGAAAGTGAAAATAAAAAATAAGGCAAAAATAGCAGTACTTGAAAAATTCTCCAAATCAGCTTTGCTTCCAGATCAGCTATTTTGGTCTAGATTTTTATATTCACTTTGAATTTGCTGACCATTCTCACGTTAGTGAATAGCCCTGTATGTAACTATGTTATTATTAAACTAAGCACTGGAGAGGCTTTTGCCACTGGGAGAATTACCTTATAGCGACACTATGACTGTTTGTTTTACTGCTGTTACACATTATCCTTGTTGCACTAGTTAATAGATAGTCATTTGTTTGTCTGCAGACTTTAAAATTCAGTTACAGAAGGAATAGTAATTTGATCACATTGGTAATTGTTAAATTGGTACACTATGTAAAATATATTGCAACAGATTGTCAAATCCATTTTACCTAATAATTTTCCAACTATAGAACTTACAAAAGGCATGCCCACTATTAAGTTTTTACCGTATATTAACGGAACACTATAGGGTCAGGAACACAAATATGTATTCCTGACCCTATAGTGTTAAACCCACCATTTAGGTGGCTTGCCCCACCCCCCTTAGCCTCCTTAAAAGTTAATAAAACTCACCTTATTACTAGCCCTGCCCCCTTGGTGACATCATCAGAATTGCTGATTTTTAGCCAATCCAATGCTAAAATTGACAAGAGGTCGGGGCCAAACGCCATTATGGCCAATCAGCACCTCCTCATAGAGATGCATTGAATCAATGCATTTCTATGAGGAAAATTCAGCGTCTCCATGCAGAGCGTGGAGACGCTGAACGGCACTGCCGCCCACTGTGGAGCACTGAGCCACGAAGCCACTCCAGTGGCCACTTGGAGGTGTCCCTATTAGCAATGTAAACACTGCTTTTTCTCTGAAAAGGCAGTGTTTGCATGAAAATGCCTAAAGGCAATGATTATACTTGCCAGAACAACTACATTAAGCTGTAGTTGTTCTGGTGACTATAGTGTCCCTTTAAGAGTAACCTGGACAAACGCACAGAATTTCTGTATAAACGTATCGAAAGTATAAGAAGAAGCATTTCTTGGAAAGGTTGGATTGGATTTGAGTTTTTATTAGTCACATACATGTACTATATGCATTGGTCAGTAATTGGTGTGTTGGTTATGTTTTTGTTTTTGTGAATCTACATTTTATTATAGTTTGATATTTTATTATAGCTAGATAAAGTGTTGGATGCCCAAGAACTGCAGAGTGAAAAATATGGGAATAAAATCCACGATGAACATCTTTTTATTGTCACTCACCAAGGTAAACTGAGAGTTTAAACTTTTATTTTTTGTTTTTTTTAATTTCTCATTTTTATGTGTAGCTATGTAGATATGTATTAATATTAGTATTGCACGAGTGAACTGAATGATGTATTTTCTTCCATTTATTTATTATATTATTTAAGTACATTCCCTTCTGGTAATATGATAAGATGATAAACTCATATATTTTAAGGCAGACTTTTTTTGTTTTGGTTTTTATCACACATGTCTCAATATTGACAAATGTATGTTGGTTGGTTGATTTGCAGCATATGAACTGTGGTTCAAGCAAATCCTGTGGGAATTAGATTCTGTTAGAGAAATCTTTCAAAATGAAAAAGTGAGTACAACTAATTGAATAGTTAATTGTAATGAATGTATTACAGAATTTTTAAAAAATTTTTTAATATTATTTCTTTTATTTATTGGTAATATTTTATTATTTATAAGTATATACTTAGGAATTCTGTGATTCTAAATACTTTAAAGTTCTTAGTAATAGTTTATTTAGAAAGTAGATGATATATGATGCCACTGATTTAAAATATAGTTTAATTACCTAGATCTGCATATTGCATGGTGTTCTGGTATTATGTCAAAACATGTTATCTCATGATTTAAAGTGATTTGCTGGAAATGCATTTCTGATTCTTTAATACAGCTTACATTTTCTTGAATACAACTTACAGAAAATAGAGACTAATAGATATTTTACAGCATACATGGTGTTTAATGCATTCTGCAATTTGGCAGTCAAGGAATAGTGATATAATTTTTTGTATGAGTGTAATGTTGTTGATTTTGTAGGTACGAGATGAAAGGAATATGCTGAAGGTTGTAACCCGAATTCATCGTATTACAATGATTCTTAAACTACTGGCGGAACAGTTCTCCGTTCTAGAAACGATGACTGCTCTTGACTTCTTTGACTTCAGGTAGGTATCTATGGGGCTACCATCCTCTGTAGCTTTGTGACTCATATCATGGGCCTCTTCATCTCAAAGGAGTTATTTTTTAATAGTTGTGTCTTTACTCTTCCACTCACACACTGATAATCTGTGAACAATATTTAGTGATAAAAAAACCCCAAACCAAAACAAAAAAAAGATATATTTTCTCAACCTATTTGCAGGAAGGAATGAGAGTAACTTGGGCCCTTCTGCAAATTGAATATGTGATGGCCCTGAGTGTGGATGGTGTATTTACAATATTAGACTGTGTCAGGTGCTTTACATTTTCTATCTCTATGGATATTTGTGTAATTATACAAAGTATATTTATCCACATAGACTGACAGGCTTGGTTCAAATACAAATTTCAAAAATTATTGCAAAGTTTCTGACACACTGTCTAGGCCACTGGAATTAAAGGGACACTGTAGTCACTATACCCATTTCATCTCTTTGAATTGGTTATAGTGCCTGGAATTCCCCTGGTACTGTCCCTCCATTCAGTGTTGCACCATGTTTGTGCAGTATGTCCCTGGCCACCCACAGTCCAGCCCCTTCTGTATGTGTAGCTAAGGCTGTCATACCCATTCATAATGTCAGTTGGAGCTCTGACAGGCTAAAAGCAGTTGACACTCTCAGCCAATCACAGCTGCCCCTTGCTGCTCAGCCTAATACTTCCTTATTAGCCAAAGTAGCACAGAGGGGATGGACTGCCGGGGACTCTTGTTAAACATTAAAACATTAAAAACTGTTTAATGCTGAAAGAAATGATGGTACCAAGGGACTCCAGACACTATAACCAGTTTAATGAGATGAAGCATATACAGTGCCTATGGTCCCTTTAAGACTGTCTCCCAACTGCCTAATTGTTGTGGGAAACAAACACTTTTGTTTGACACAGTTGCTCATTAGTTATCCATTCTAAAATAAAAACCAAAAAAAACTATTTATTATCAGCTGACACCATGTTGTGTAGGCTGCAGAGAAGAGAAAGAAAGATCAAGCAGACAAGAAACTTTGTAACAAAAAGATAAAGCTGAGAAGGAGCTTAGTAACCAGTTTAAAGCTTCTCCTTATTTATCTCGGTAACCATGGAAATGAAGTTGCCAAGTTCATACTGACTCCACCTCACATGGATGATGACATTCCATGAAGTAAGCCAAATAACACCTATGAAGAGCTGAATTTTTAAACTTGTAAACATGATCTGTCTATTGAAATAAATAATAGATACTGTTGCGAGTGCAACATTCCCCATTCTAGCATATCACCAACCACTTGTAATTACCAGTCACCCTTACATCATACAGCATGGTCCAATCATGCAAATTGGAGCTTGCTATCTGAGAAATGGGTGCCATTTTGGAACTGTGTTATGTGGGTGACCAGTGAGTGTCCCATTTAATATAGATGCCATATGGCTGCTGTGTGGTATATTACTTACTAGTAGTTCTATTTCTGTGATACTGGTGTTCTGTAAATGACTGGTTAGTGGTGTGGAATATTGGAGTTATGTGGGTGACTGGTTGGCGCTGTTGGCACAGCAGAGTGGTGTTCTGTGTGTAATACTGGTGTCATTTTAAATTCTAATTTTAAATATTTAATCAGCTGGAGACAACAACCACACCTTGATGCTCTTATATAAAACAATCAGAGGATAATGAAATAGGTGACTTTCTTTTAAAGTCTACGTTCCTTGGACTGTGTCTAAATGCCTTACTGAGGATCATTAGTTGGGAGTTTTACTTTTATCTATGTGAGTACTATTAGATTGTCAGCACAAGATATACTTCTAAAAAGTAGTCCACATTCAACACGTGTGTGTGTGTGTGTGTGTGTGTGTATATATATATATATATATATATATATATATATATATAAAACATAATTTAAATATGAATATATATTGTAATGAGGTGCCTTTAAATACATTGTGGTTTTTTCTTTTGAAAGGGACTATCTGTCTCCTGCCTCTGGGTTTCAAAGTTTGCAGTTCCGGCTGTTAGAAAATAAGATTGGTGTTCCAGAAATTTTGAGAGTTCCATATAACAGGAGACATTACCGTGACAACTTCAAAGGAAAAGAGAATGAGTTACTCCTGAAATCAGAGGAAGAGCCAACACTTCTTGGACTAGTGGAGGTAATTGACCTAATGAACAGCAAACTCCGCTTATTTTCATACACTATAAATAGTAATCGAAAAATAACCAACACTTTCACTGTCCATCCACCCCCCTGAATAGCATTTATAGTCTGAACTAGAATTCCTGTATTAAAAAAAAGAAAAGACTAAAATAGTTAAATTTTCTTACAGTACTATGGAAATGCCTAGTTATGGTTAAATTGTGGCTTTGTTTCTCAGACAGAGATATATATATATATATTAAGTTAACCCCCTCATAGATGTGCATAGCACATTTTATTAGGGCGTGCATTGGGGATTTTTTTTTGTATTTATTGTAAGTCTGCTGAAGACTTCCGTCCATCTTCTGTCCATACTCCCACCTCTGATGCTCGCCTTCAAGATTTCTCGAGGGCTTCACCGTTCCTGTGGAACTCGCTTCCCTCCGCCGTTAGATGCTCAACCAGTCTCCACTCCTTCAAAAAAATCGTTAAAAACCCACTTCTTCATAAAAGCGTATCCATTAAACTGTTAATAGCTCCTGACTGATTCCTCTTCTGCAACTGTCACTAGTTTAATACTATCCTTACCTTTTTGTGTCATTTTACCCCACTCCCTCTAGCATGTAAGCTCATTGAGCAGGGCCCTCAACCCCTCTGTTCCTGTGTGTCCAACTTGTCTGGTTACAACTGCATGTCTGTTCGTCCACCCATTGTAAAGCGCTGCGGAATTTGATGGCGCTTAATAAATAACATAATAATAATAATAAAGTTCAACCATCATAACAATAATTTTTATTCACCAAGGCAGCTAATACTTAGCTAAATTGTTTTTTTCATTATATATTTTAAACTGAACACTTATTATAACCTTCGCAAGTGCTTCCATTTGCAACTGTGCAGCTCGCACATTGCACCTACTTTCAGCAACCTGTTTCCTATTGCATGCAAATCTCACAGGGTTATTCACTGAGAAATCCTGGGAAATAAAGTGTGTTCAGAACGAATTTAAACATTGAATCAGAAAAATATGCTCCAAATCAATTCTATTTTCAGTTTGACTAGTTTGGCCTTAAATTTAAAGCTCTTTTTAAATTCACTTTAAATTCCCATCAATGTGATTACTTTCAGAATATATGAATGTTTTGGCACGACCCGAGTAACGTAATACAATCTCAAATTACCCACAGTGCATTGTGTTAATAAAAAAATATATTGATGCCCCACAACATGATGTCTTTATTTCATTTAAGGCATGGCTAGAGAGAACCCCTGGATTGGAGGAAGAAGGCTTTAATTTCTGGGGAAAGCTGCAAGTAAATATATATCAAGGCTTAGAGGAATCTCTCCGGTCCACAAAGGTATGGTTTTCATATGGTAGATAATGGTAAATAAAATAAATAATTAGGACAAAAAACAGTATTTTCATAAAACACTGGTTTACGTTAGAGTAACCATTGTGTGCTAGTCCACCTCCTCCAAATGAATAAGAAAAAAATAGAGCCAAAAATCACCTCTGGTTAGCGCTGTGGCTACCATAAGTTTCCTTGAAGTCTGATCCTCTAAGGCTGACTTCTCAGTAGATTGAAGGGAGGACATAGACGACATGGAGTGGGTGGTTGTCGCCATTGGCCGTCTGGCGCCAGCAAGCTGTGCATGCAGGAGTCAGATGCCAAATTTGAATAGAATTTATATTAGCTACATGGAAATCTAGTTGCAGGCTGGATAATGACGCCCCAGTGATGTGGCCAGAGTTACATAGTGAAACTGTGCACATAGAGACGCCAGTACATACTCCATGAATACACTGCTTAGTGTAACCCCTTAATTATATGAACCTTTACAAAAAAGTAATGTATTAAAATACAGTGCTTTAAAAATATTAGAAGGTTGCTTTTGAAACCTTACCAACACTTATTTACAATTGGAAGAACTGTTAGAAAAACGTTCCAAATTATTTGTCAACAAAAATTATCGTATTTTTATGGAGATTTCAGTAGTTAAATAAAATTGGATACATCTTCTAGCAGTATTGAATCATTTGAAAAGCCTGTTAAATCGAGGCCATAGTATGAAACATTTATTTAGATTTTTTTTTTTAAACTTGTTTGTGTTACCAAGATTTTCACTGCAGTTCCTAAACGTGCACTATAAAGACAATTTGAGCAGTACACAGGTACACTGTAAATCTTGTACTGAAAAGGCCTAATCGCTTCTTCCTAGCTCCTCAAATATCTGCACTTGTACCTGTAGATCATTTAGAGTTAAAAATAATGTTTAATGTTTTGTCTTACATTTCCAAGTATGCATTTTTATGTATAGTTTAATTGGCAATTATTGCAATTCAGTTTGATGAATAGACACGCCGACTGTAATTAACAAGGTTGTTCACTAAACTATGAATTGTTGGGAATTTCAAAGAGAATTTTAAATTTTAGGTAAAGATAGGTGAACGGAAACCATAGCTGATTTGTAAAATGGTTTAAATTTCGGCTTTCTTTCTGAATTGCTATCCCTTTATTTTAGTGAATAATTATTCCTTAAATAGTCACCTCCTATAAAACTTTCCCTGAGGCACACACTAGTGAAAGGTACTGATATTTAAATAGAATTACTATTTAAATAAAATATTTCTTTCTATGATTTTGATAGAGTAAGCCAGATTCAGAAGACAAGGAAGAACAATTGGCAGAGCTTCAGAAACAAAAGGAAATGTTTATTGCATTATTTGATGAGAAAAGACACGAACATCTTCTGAGTAAAGGTAATAAATCATTAACTCATCTCAATAACAACCATTTACCTGATATTACCTAGGTGCTAATTATTATATGGTTTTCTGTAGCATATAGTGGGAGCAATTTCAACGCAATAAATTATACTTCTTGCTGTACATGCCAATTTTATTTATATGCATTTTTAGCATCGTTATTAACCTTCCAATCAACAGAACTGTAAGGAAAATGAAACACAATATTTACAAAATATATTTGTTTCATTAATTACATTCATTAAATAATCATGGTATACCCTAATTCTCACTACCTCTTCTTGTAAGATGAGATGAGTCCATTGTGTGCTTAAAATATACCAAAATTACAGACGCATAATACAAATGTGTCTGTAATATTATAATCATTCCTTATTATGAAGAGGGAGACTGCTGTTACAATAACCACTGCAATACGCTGAAGTGGTTATAGTGCATGAATATACGTAAACAGTCTTCACTTGTAATGTATTTAAAATAAAAACCTGTGTGTGTATAATTTCATAAGGCATACCTTTCGGTTCTAATAGAGACACATACTGTTACATTTGACCAAGTACTCCTCTTCAGCAATATTACACAAGTCCTGAAGGACTACATGTCCCCCAAGTGACCTACATAGGTGTCAAACCATTCAAAAGTGGTTTGTAAAGTCCTGTTGTAAAGAACCTGTTACCATTGGACTGAAAAAAAATCACTGAAAAAGGTATTTCTGTAAAATGTATTAGATGTTTTAGTGAATATAGTTAATTGGAGCCAAGTTAAATGAAAGCATAATTTGTGTGCAGTACATACAATTCTAATTGTAATATTTTCCTAATGTCTCCTATGTATCCATAATGTTTTTTTCCCCAACATAAATGATATATATATATATAAAACACTTGTATAAGCATTTAGTAGAGAAATCATATTTTTTTTGCATATAACGTGAAAAGGAGAATATGTATAAACTGATTAAACAAACCTCCTAAATATGTTTTGCAGGGGACAGAAGATTGTCATACAAAGCACTCCAAGGGGCTCTGTTGATCTACTTTTACAGGTATGTTGATTGAATCACTACATTCACTTAGCTGATTATTGGTCTGTGTTTAAAATTTACTGTGCATACCTTCATATGCAAACAATGTCATCTACATGATGGTAAAGAGAAGGTGAGCTGTCTTCCACCCCTTGGCTACCACATGCAATGCCAAGATTACATGCATGTGAATATTTGAATTTTTATTGACAATACAACACAAAATCTGATGTTTGTGAGTGTCTGGCTCTGCTGCCTAGCAGCCTAGGCTTTGTAAGACCCTTCCAACCAACTATTGTTGCCACAGTGTGACTCACAATTGCTTGTCTCCAGTCTTCTAACAGATTTGTTCACAAAATTGGGAAGTTTGGATAATTGCCAAGGGAATTACAGCATATAGGATAGTTCAGACAAATTGTAAAACAATCACAATCAAAACTTACTTTTTCAACTTGGCTATTTTGGCTAACAATACCGAGTTCTCTTGCCAACCTCATCAGTTCCTCAGAAAAAGCAAACTGAATGTTGCATATTTAGAGCCTACTACATTGTGTGACCACTTGTAACTATAGTTTTGGTGTTCTGGTTATCCACATAGGGTAAAGGCTGTTTTAAAAGAAGGACCCACGCTGGGACATAGAAATTAAAGGGGAACTGTTACTTGTCAGTATATTACAGCTCATGAAAGTATAACACCTGTGATTCAAAAACCTATATCTCAATTCAAATTCAGTTCAAGTAACCGGTGTGTGAATTGTGGACTGAGCACTGAATCTCTGAACTTTATTTCTGTCTGTCACCATGTCAAAATGATTGCAAAAAATTATAATTATGTGGACTTTGAACTGAATAGGAAAACCTTCTCCATAAATCTTACACAATCTATTTTCCTTTATTTGGAAGGGAGGAACCCCGATTCCAGGTTCCATTTCAGCTCCTTACTTCTTTGATGGATATTGACATATTAATGACCAAGTGGAGATGTAAGTTACTGTCTAAAAAAGTACACTAAAAAGTGTTTGATTTTCTCTACCTAAATTCTACTACTATTTATTGCTAAAAAATCAATTTCTGTACAGACCACCAACATTTAGAAAGGTGAAAAAACAAGACCTGAAACAGAACACTTGTTTCTGATGGGAAAAAGTGACTTAAAGATCGATAAATACATTGTGTCACCAAAAAGGTGTACATTCAAAAATTATGGTTAGTGTGCAGAAGTAGCCACAGGCACGAAAATGACAGATTTCAATACATTATACAAAAAAATGCAAAAAAACAAAATAAATAACTGTCTCCGACATTTTGTGAAACCTCCCCCATTGTGCACACCAAGAAGAGTGAACTACGAAGGATCTATATTGTCTTGCAAAACTATTATTTAGACTCTTTTTAGACGCTTTTTTAGATGAGTTGAATCCTTTCCATCGGCTGATGCCATATTGTCAGTTTATCCCTTTATAATAACATATGTTACAAGTTGTAACTTTTAAACTAAATTATATAAGAGAACTACATGTTCATAAAGCGTGGCCAGTCATATGATGACCTGCACATTGAATTTATTATTGGTGAATACTGTATATTGTGGCATTTTGCTAAATATTTTATATTAAATACTAATCAAATGAGAACAATGTGATTAAGAAACGCTGCACCACCACCATCTCCCCTGAACTCCCCCCTGTAATGGATATGTATATAAAAAAGTATTTTTAAAAGACATACACAAAATTCTATAGTTCTTAATAACCCTGCACATGTATGTTAAACCCACCATGATGCCCAGTGCAGTGGTTGCAATGCAATAATACTAATTTGCCTCTCATATAAGCAAACAATACATTATTCCTGTTGCTACAGAGAGAATAGGATCACTCATTAGATAAGCACACTGACTTTGTTGTCAGTAATGTGTAGTTTCAATTATGGATCAGGAGCACTCTGTGCTGATGAAAAAATTTGTATGTGTGCAATTAATTTTACTAAATGGGAAAAGGTAAGGTTAGGATATTATCAATAAAAGAACAAAATATATGTAACATAATATGAAGATATTAATATATATATATCTTAATAGGGCTATATTAGACATGTTATGTTTAATGTTATTTTTTTATGAATGAGAAATTCTGATTTGTCTACAATATCTTATATCCCTAGATAATCATGTATGTATGGTGCACAGAATGATAGGTAGTAAAGCAGGCACGGGAGGATCATCTGGCTACCACTACTTACGTTCCACTGTGAGGTAGGTTATAGCAATGTACTGATAATTACTGGTTGTATATACACATCAATCATTTTTAGATAAATGTTAGCAGTGCTGTATTTAGCGCAAGGCTGACAAGGCATTTGCCTTGGGCGGCACTTTCAGGGGGGCGGCCAAAAAAACAGCCCCAAATGCCCTAGCAGATGCCTTGTCAGCCTCTTCTCCTGGAAGCCCAGTGTCAGGACCTCAGAGAGACCCAACACGCAGGATGTAATAGAAAAAATGTATACCGGACCTTAGAGTGGCCAGATTCTACATTAGACAGATAGAGAATAATCAAAAAGAAGCCAAGGTTGAGGGAGCCAGAAATCACGAAAACGAGGTAAACAAGCCGAGTCAGGAAACCAGATATTAGGATAGTTGAAGTATATGAGCTGAGTCAATATTAGGAGAATGGAGAGTAGTCACTTAGCCGAAGTCAAAATACCAAATAGAAAAACCAGATATAAACCACTATTGGGAACTAACAAAAGAACCACAATAAGGCAAAGTCCTATGTGTGAACCAGCCTTTTATAGGATTGCTCTTTAAATTTGAAGCCACGCCCCCAAAACGGTCGAGTCCGGATGTTTTGGCCGGCCGCGACATTATCGGCGTCATGATGGTGGCACACATGTGACGTGATGACGTCATTAGTGTCACAAAATTGGTGTGCGTGTGCCGCAACATAAAAGAGGGCAGAGCTACAGCGTCCAGTGTTGGAACCGCTGGAGTGGAGACTGGAAGCAGGAATACGGCCAGAAATGCGAGTGAGCATGACACCCAGGAGCTGGCTGGCCACCTTAGGGCCCCCGAGGCTGGCATCTCATTGTGATGGAGGTGGGCGGCGAGGAAGCACTCTCCCCTGAACCCCCCCTGTTCAACTCCCTCGCATCGGAGTGATGCCGGAGCCGGAATATGACATCACTCTTGCCCCGGCATCACAGATCAGAGCTCCCAGCCACTCAGCACAGCAGCCCCACTGGACCCCAGGGACCGCACGCTCAGCCGCTCAGCCCAGAAGCTCCAGGGAAATAGACTCCATGCCAGCTCTCCCAAAGGTAGAGAGGCTGGGTGGAGTGAAATTTTTTTTTCTTCTAATTTATATGTTTGTCTGTTAGTGAGTTTGTATGTGTGTTTGTCAGTAAGTGAGTATGTGTGTTTGTCTGTGAGTGTGTATGTCTGTTTGTCATTAGTCTGTGAGAGTGTGTGTGTGTCTGTCAGTGAGTGTGTATGTGTGTCTGTCAGTGAATTTGCGTATGTGTGTCTGTCAGTGAATGTGCATTTGTGTGTTTGTCTGTCACTAAGAGTGTGTATATGTGTCTGCCAGTGAATGTGTATGTCTGCCAGTGAATGTGTCTGTCATTGAGTGTGTCTGTCAGTGCATGTGTGTCTGTCATTGAGTGTGTCTGTCAGTGCATGTGTGTCTGTCAGTGAGTGTGTATTAGTGATTATATGTGTATCCCAGTGTGTGTATCTGATTCTTATTTGGTTTGTTTCTGACACTGAGTGAGTGTGCGTGTGTCAGTGAATGTGCATGTGTGTCTGTGAGTGTGTGTATGTGTGTCTGTTGGTGAATGTGTGTGATAGGAAGTGAATGAGAGTGTGTGTCTGTCAGTGAGTGTGTGTAACTGTGAATGAATGAGTGTTTATGTCTGTCAGTGAGTGTGTATGTAAATCAGTGAAAGTGTGTGTTGGTTAAACAGTGTTTGTGCCAATGACTTTGCATTTGTCAGTGTATGTTTCGGTGAGGGTGTGTGTCAGGCAAACAGTGTGTTGGTTCTCAATATGAAGATACATTTAGATAGGGGTGGGGGGATGTCTGAGTTTTTTCATGCCTAGGGCAGCACAGAACCAAAATACACCACTGAAAGCTAGATGTTATAAAATAGCAAATGGGGTAGTCAGGTAGCTGTTGGTTTCTAACATGGAGGTAGATGATGCTGTAATAAACTGAAACAAAGAAATAGCAACAGATGCTTCACTCTTTGAGGTATGTAGAAACACATATGGTACAATAAAAAATAAAATAGAAACACATAATCTAATAAATGTAAATAAAAACACATTTATCATGCTATGTGCACAATGATGTCTTTATGTAAGTATGTGCAATGTCCTAAGTCCTGCTAGACCCCAACTTTTATATTTAATGCATGAAAAATTATGAAAAACCCCCATTTATACAGTTCCAAAATACCATCTGCTGTCTCCCAGTTGTAAATCCATTTCCTCGTAATCAGTTAGTGTGTGTTAAAGGGACACTAGAGGCACCGAAGCAACTTTAGCTTAATGGAGCAGTTTCTGGTGTATAGTTCATGCTACTGCAGTCTTACTGCTTAATTCTCTGTCATTTGGAGTTAAATCACTTTACTTTTCCTTTTTCAAGTTGGTGGTGTGCCATATTGGAAACATGAAAATGAATGCCTATATGGCACTACTGACGTCAAAATATATGGACAATACCATATATAATAAGGAATTATGTGTCCTAAGGGTTTTTTAAAAAAGTTGGCCATTTTGAGGCTAAATTCAAATTACAAGTGTTATTCAGAAATTAGCCACAAGATGCTGCCAAAGGATTATGTTTGAAATTATAATTGACATTAAAATACTTGACAAATAGAATTTCACTAGAAAAAAATATGATGTATATAAATTATAAGATGTATATCCATAAATATATATATATTTCCTAATAGTCAGATAGGAGTGTAAGTGAAATAATAATTGAGGGGACTGAAGTGCATGCAATGCCTGGAACCACTATGTATAGCGGTATTGCAGGATGATGTGTTAAAATAGCTTAAGGTCATGCATAAAACCTTAAAGTGACTGTGCTTAAAAAAAGAGTGAAGATAAAACAAATAAACATAAAATGCTGGCAAACGTGTGCTGCAAATCCGAATAAACTATATACAAAATACATATCAATGTTTGCAACACACGTTTTCCCAGCACTTTATGTTTATTTGTTTTATCTTCACTCTTTTTTATATTTGGATATTGAGTGATCGGCTTACAGCACCCGGCAATATAACGTGGAGCCAGAGTGCAAGGAATTTCAAGGATTATTATATATATATATATACTAATATAAAATAAAATATAAAATGGCCTTGCATGGTGATGTTTAGTTAGGAAATATGTGGCTGGGATGCTGCTCTAACTCTAAAGTAAGGCAGGCACCTCTTCAAACACTGGATGCCTGTCTTATATTAGAGTACAGGGTGGAGATGGGGGGTGTCTGTGCGGTGCCTGTTTGACTAACATGGGGGAGCCATATGGCAAGCAGACAGACGCCGCTGTCTGTGCGGTGCCTGCCTATATTGTGATGGGAAGCTGGGGAATAAAGTGGCAGGCACCACTGTCCATGTGGTGCCTGCCTGAATATCAGGGTATGGAGCTGACAATCACACAATCTGGTGTGGATTTCAGTAAAGATGACAGGCACGGTTGTCACATTAAATGCCTGCCGCTGATCTGCTCACTGTGCGCTCCCTGGCCAGGTCCCGCGTGTCTCTCTGAGCTTATTATGGCAGGCACCACTTCATAGCCCACCTTTGAAAGCGCGCTGTCTTGGCGTCATACTTGACTTTTGGCCTCACCTTTAAACCTCACATCCAGTTTGTTGCCAAATCCTGTAGATTCTATCTCTTTACAGATCCATAGGAATATTCTTTTCGGTCTCTCCGCTCTGCCTGTGACCTTCTCCTGTCCGTTACTTGCACCTGTATGGCCAACTCATGCTTCTCCGGGCGGCTCTCTTCCTATGGAATAGCCTGCATACCGCCATCAGACTTTCCCCTATTATTATTATTATTGCCATTTATATAGCGCCAACAGATTCCGTAGCGCTTTACAATATTATTAGAGGGGGGGATTTAAATATAAATAGGACAATTACAAGAAAACTTACAGAAATGATAGGTTGAAGAGGGCCCTGCTCAAACGAGCTTACAGTCTATAGGAGGTGGGGGGTAAAGCACATTAGGACAGGAAATTGCAGTCAAATTAGGTGGGAGTGAAGCAGAGCTGGAGGAGAGAGTAGAGTGCTGCCCTTTAGGAGAGAGCAAGAGACAGGTATGTGAGGTAAAGGTTAGTCTGGGAGGCCATAGGCCCTTCTTAAATGATTGAAGACTAGAGTCTGATGGCAGTAGGTAGGCAATTCCATTGGAAGGGAGCCGCCCGCGTGAAGTCCTGCAAGCGCGAGTTGGCCGTACGGGTGCGAGCAGCGGACAGAAGGTGGTCACGGGCAAAGTGGAGAGACGGAGAAGGGGCATACCTATGGATCTGTGAGGAGATATAAGAGGGGCTAAGATTATTCAGTGCTTTAAAGGTATGGATTAGCACTTTGAATTGACTCCTATACAGGAAGCCAATGTAAGTACTGACAGAGGGGTGAGTAGTCTTCAATTGTTTAAGAAGTGCCTTAAAACCCATCTCTTTAGGAAAACTTATGGCCTCCCAGAGTAACCTCTACCTTGCATACCTGTCTCTTCTAAAGGGCAGCACTCTACTCTCTGCTTCACTCCCACCTTATTTGATTGGTATTTACTGTCCTAATGTGTTTTATACTCACCTCTTATAGACTGTAAGTTCGTTTGAGCAGGGTGCTCTTCAACCTATTGTTCCTGTAAGTTTTCTTGTAATTGTCCTATATATAGTTAAATCCATCCTCTCATAATATTGTAAAGCGCTACGGAATCTTTCGGCGCTATATAAATGGCGATAATAATAATAATAATAAATCAGGTGCCTGCCTAAGATGTAGAATCCGGCAGCACGGGATGGAGATGGCCTGGGAAATCACAGGGAGGCAGATCAGTGGCAGGCATGGCTGTAAAATAAGATGCCTGCCGTCAATCTGCCTCTCTGTGCATTCCCTGGCCTGGATGACTGATATTCACACAGGAGTAAGCATGTGCTGTGGTTGCGATGCTTGGAGGAGCAGAAGGACTGTTTGTGGGAGGTCTTTTCTTTTTAAATAGGTTTTTCTCCCAATCTATATGTTAAAATAAGAGGAAATATCATCCCCTTTAAAACAGCATAAATAGTTTGGTGCATGACAGGTCCCTCTTACAAAGACACTGTAGCCACTATAACCAGTCAATCTAATTGAAATGATTCTAGTGCCTGGAGTCCTTTGATACTGCCCCTTCAATAATTGTTAAACCATTTTGAGCAGTTTAAAACTAAATAAGGATCTCTGGTCACCCACAGCCTGGCCTCTAGTAGGGGTATGGTTAAGGTAGAGATTACAACACTTCCTGCAAGTCACAATAGTTCATATCAACATTTGGCATTGTAATCGGCTGGAAGCGGTCTGCTGATACTCTCAACCAACCACAGCCATCCATTTCTGTTTAGGCTAATACAGTACTAATACTGTTCAACCATAATTCACCGCTGTCACGTTAAGTGCACCCACACTTATTATATATAATTTTCTTCAGGAGAAACAGGGCTTTAATTTAACATTAACTATTCATATATGGAACATAATTTATTATGAATAAAATTTAAAAAAATGTGAGAAAATAAGATTTGTTTTTAAATTTGTATTTCCGTCTGACATTTTAGCTGTGAATGTTATAATACTGTTAGGTTTTACTGCAAAAAAATGCACATATTTGTAATCAGCGATGTCTCACGAGTACAACAGTACCCCCATTAACAGGTTTTATGGTGTTTTGGAAAGTTGCAGGGTCAAATATAGAACGTTCCATTTTCAAATTGAAATTTGCCAGATTAGTAATGTTACCTTTGAGACGGTGTGGTAGCCCAGGAATGAGAATTATCCCCATAATGGCAAACCATTTGAAAAAGTAGACAACCCAAGGTATTGATAGTGGGGTATGTTTAGTCTTTTTTAGTAGCCACTTAGTCACAAACACTGGCCAAAGTTAGAGTTCATATTTGTTTTTGTGTGAAAAAAGCAAAAAACTAATATTTGGCCAGTGTTTGTGACTAAGTGGCTACTAAGAGACTGGACATATCCCACTTGCAATACCTTGGGTTATCTACTTTTGCAAATGGTATGCCATCATGGGGGTAATTCTCATTCCTGGGCTACCATACACCCTCAAAGGCAACATAACCAATCTGGCAAATTTAAATTTAAAAAAAATGAAATGCAAGCCTTATATGTGACTCTCTAACTTTCCAAAACACCATAAAACCTGTACATGGGGGGGGGGGTTACTGTTATTCTCGGGAGACTTCACTAAACACAAATAATAATTTTAAAACAGTAAAACATATTACAACAATAATATAGTGCATAAAAATGCAAAAAACTTCACTTTTACTTAAAATATCATCGTTGTAATAAATTTACCAGTTTAAAACACTAATATTTGAGTTCAGCGAAGTCTCCCGAGTAAAACAATACTCCCTGTGTACAGATTTTATGGTGTCTTGGAGAGTTAGAGGTCAAATATAGTGCTTGCGAATTAAATTCTCTGCACTTTCTCCCTGTGTTGTCAGGCATGTCAATCAAATTTTAATTAATCAAATCACATAATTATGTTAAAAGATTACTTAAATATACATGTAGAATTTTAATGTATATGCATATATAGGTATTTATATTCTACGTGTATACTAATGGAATCTTTTATGTAATTATATGTATTTATCTATATATATATATATATATATATATATATTTGCGGCTATTTGTATTTTTATATATAGATAGATATATATAGAATGTCATTCTAAGTGTATTTTGTTACCAATATACATATATATATATATTAATAACAAAATACAGTTAGAATGAAATTACATATGAATATAATTTATATAAAATTTTGTTTCAATATTTTATTTATTTTATTGTATTTATTTATTATTGTAATTATACGTATATATATAATATATGTGTATATATCTATTATATATTCATATTATATATATGTAATGTCATTCTAAGTGTATTTTAATACTAATATGTATTTATATTAGTATTAAAATACACTTTGTATGACGTTACATATTATATATTTATAAATACATTTCTATTTTATTTTATAACATGTTTAACTTTCCCACCAGCAGGGGAACTGTCTGACATTTCAGACAGTCCCCCTGCTGGGAGATCCACAGCCAACTATAGGGGGCTATGTGATCGTTCTTTGAGAGCGATCACATGGCGCCCGGGGGCCTCATTTGCTGATTGAGGGCTGCCTGGGCTGTCAGGCAGCCCTCCAGAAGAGGATCGCAGCGGAGGTAAGTCACCGGACCTCCAGGGGCTGAAAGCCGTTATGGTGTTCTATGCCGCCGCAACGGCTTTAAAGCCCTTTTAATGCGGGACGGCATAGAACACCGTAATGGCGTTAGGGGTTAAGAACTGTTTAACGTTGAATGAAAGCATGGTCCCATGGGGACTCAACTATAACTACTTCAGTGAGACAAAGCAGTTAAGGTACCTACAGTATCCCTTTAAGTTATCATGAGAGGTACTATAGGCATGCAGATCTTAGAAGTTGCTGCCCTGTACAGCTTCAAAATAAATATTTCAAGCAACATTCCAACAATTTCATGTTTCTTTTTTTTTACAGTGACAGATACAAGGTGTTTGTGGATCTTTTCAACCTTTCAACATTCCTAGTTCCAAGACACTGGATACCTCGATTAAACCCAAGCATCCATAAATTTCTTTATACAGCTGATCGCTGTGACAGCTCTTACTTTAGCAGTGATGATTCTGATTAAAAAAGGTTTATTTGCACAGTAAGAATTTTCACTAATAATATACTATCACAAATCGTAAAGTAAATGGGCATACTAACAACTAAGCACTAATTATGAGTCTCAGGACTAAAGACTAATTTAAACAAGGACTTATTCAAACAAACTACTTTATGCGTTTTCCTAAACCTCATGCATCTATTTTGACTACTATGAATCAATATTTCATATACCTCATTATTGAGGTATATGCAGGACAAGAAACTATATACATATATAATGTACATTTTATATACAAATAAATATATATATATATACTATCTTCAATACTGAGTGTTTTTCTTTACACACAAAATATAATACAAACTGCTATTTTGTTTGGAGACTGCTAACTAGGGAAGAAAAAAATAGATTATGTAAATTTACAGTATTAAAGAAATAGAAAGCATTAAACATTATTTGGTATCCCTTACCAATCAGTTTTTTTCTACTGGAATATTAGCATGTAAATACACACGATTTTGGATTTTTGGTCAAAAAAAGTGAATTGGTCAAATACACTGCTTATGGGATGATTGAAAAGTGTTAAGCCTAAAATACCATCAGAATATTAACTTTATGACTGTATATAGGATCAATGTTCCAAATAATTACTACGATACATAGCGTGGAAATAGACTTGCCCTCCCTTCACCCCCAAGGAATTGAGTAATTGGTCAGAAATCTGGGAATCTACTGGATCACTAACTATTTGTGTCACACACAGGGTGCAAGCTTTTAAGATGTTTTTGTTAGATGGTACTTAAAACCTGTTAGACTTAACAAATTAAATCTTTGTGGGAAACTATGCAGGAAGATGGGCACCTTCCTACACTATTGGTGGACTTGCCATAAACTAAAACCTTTTTGGAACAAGCCCAAGCACTACTCTAACAAGTATTGGGAAAACCGTTCCTACTTGAACCTTGGGCTCTTTTACTCTCAAACCCTTGAGACCAGCTCACCAGAAATAAAAATAAATTAGCAGTTAGGATAGCACTGACAGCATGAAGAGCAATAGGAGAACTATGGGTAAAAAGTTGAGTACCCTCCTCCACCACTGCAATCCGCAAGATTAAAGAAGCACTAGACATGGACAGACTGACTGCTCAACTGAATGGCACCCCTAAATCATTCATTTTGGATCCCTGGCTACCCAATGGAATCTGACCCCCCTCGGGTTATATTCCATGTAGAACTTTTCATAGACCCACCATCACCCAACACTATTTGAGACAAGTTGTTTCCTTTCCTAGCCCCTTCCTTCTCTCCTTCATCCTATCTCTACACCTTCCAATCGTCAAACTTCTCTAACCTTCTCTTATCTTTCTTTCTTTCTACACATGTAAATAGTTTCACATCCCACATTCTTCCCACTACCTTCCCCAATGTCCAGGTTCAATATATATATATTTCTAATTCTCAAACCCAGACTATTAACCAGCCAGCATTATTAGAATCTGTCAGAAAATACTCCAGATTTTGGTTAGCAACTCTCCCACCTGTTTATTGTCCTTATTCAATTACAATCCCTCCCTTTCATGTATCACCTATGTAAGTACATTGTATTCAAATCTTTGCAAATTCGGTAAAGCCTATATTGTAAATTTCATGCTTCCTTATTGTTGTACACCTATTTTTTTTTTTTTACAAAACTTAAAAAAAGTTATTTAAATAAATAAAGGAAAATATTGCTCATAAGGGTTGAATATAGTTGCTTAAATAAAACCAGTCATATATACTTTGTTGGTCATTACAAGCAGTTTGTATGTAAGCCCTGGGGTGTGCTCAGAAATGCAGCCTTGCATTTTTGAGTATTCTGCTGGAACACAAGGTCTGACTACAGCCTCAGTAAATATTTCCTAACATATTTATTTAATTTGCACAATCAATTTGTTTATTGTATATTGTTTTAGAGATGTCCAGTTATTTGGAATAAAACCAATTGGTGTACAACCTGCACAGCCAAGTACCTGTCAAAAACCTGCATTCTTTCCTTTATAACCCTATATAATACACTGAACAAAATTATAAATGCAACACTTTTGTTTTTGTCCTCATTTTTCATGAGCTGAACCTAAAGACTTTTTCTTAAAGACTTTCAGTTTTCTTTGAGTTCAGCTCATGAAAAATGGAGGCAAAAACAAAAGTGTTGCGTTTTTAATTTTGTTCAGTGTAATTGTTTTTTCTGCGTATTTGAAGTACATGGGGTTCTGTCAAGTGAAATTACACATGAAATACGCCTACTTGCAATGATTGCTTTTCTTTTATCTTACCAATGTGAAGTAATTTGTTAATGATTGGTGAAGCCATAGTAAAGGATTGGTCAGTAGATAAACACTGTATTTATTTTTTTTCGTTTTATTTGAAAGCCATTTAATAAAGCATACAACAGCTGAATATGTCACGTAAAACCAGTCTATTGGAAACATTAATGTTGCATGCATTACTAAATGATATATATTACATACATTAGTTTTTATATTTATAAAATATTCATCAACCATAATTATGTACCTTGTTAAGATGCAATACTGTAATGTTATTAAAAAAAGATACATAAATGTTTCTAATGCTCAGTAGATGATAATATATACTGTAATGGTAATAAAAAAAAGACATACTTTTTTTTTTTTTTAATGCTCAATAGATGATAATATAATCTGAAGATATATAACCTCCAACTCTGAATAGCAAATGTGTCATTTGGAATATGTACACAAATATGTAAACATGTGAAAATGAAAAATGTTGTTACTGGATATGGTAAAATCTGTGACAAGCATCCCATTAATGAACTGTCTTAAATAAATATGACAAGTTTCTTTGATAATGAAATATATCTAATCTACAAGGTAGATCTGGATCTTTCAATTCCTGCATTGGGCCTATTGTAATAGTTATATCAAAACTTTAAATGTTTGTTTGATTGATCACATGGGGTTTACTTACTGGAAACTATTTGATCAGGTTAGTGATCACTACCGTCTTTCCACGATCGTGTCTTTCCCCAGAACATAGACTAGTTCACTAAGCCATGGAATCTTGCGAATTTATGTTCAGGGAAACTTCCCAGAACATAGATTAGCTTACAAGAGCATGGAATCCCACAAACCTATGTTCGGGGGAAATTTCCCGAACATAGATTAGCGAACTAGCGACTAGGGTTTATTTTCGGGTTATGGATTATATTACGAGCATCCCCCCAAAATAAGCTAGGGCCTATTTTAGGGAATGCCTTATTTTCGGGGAAAAAAGGTGTTTCACTCTCCTACAACTAGTGAAAATAAATTCAAACTCTGGTTAGTGGTATTTACACAATTTCCAATACCAGAGAAATCATAGAAACTGATACTTCAATGCAAAGAAACAAAAGACACATATACTGTGGATGTAAAAGAAGAACAAACCCATTTTATTAATTTATTTTAAAACATTTTGGTTTTTTTTTAACCAAAAAGAATATGAGATTTTAATAATATCTTGCAAAACAGTATTATTCCCTTGTGGTAAGGTTGCATATTTAAAAAAAATAAACAAAAACATAAATTATTTTACATGAACAAATATTACATTTATATGACTTGGATTTGATATTTCTGAAAGTTTATTCCTCATTTGTGGAGTTCTGTAGAAGTCATCCTAACCTACTTCATTGATGTAATGTGGAATAGTAAATAAAGTGCTAAAAACAGATTGCATCAAACAGGAGATGTGCAGAGCATGCACACTAGAAGTGAATCTGTACAAGACTAGAAAGAACAAGGGTAAGTCTAGATTAAATCCAATTGAGGTTAACATGACATTTTAAATTTTACCACGACCTGTTTGTGCCCATGATTCATTTACCTCATCCTTTTAGCCTATAGACGCCCATGACATTTGTCACACTATCCATTATCTTACCAGTAGATTTTAAAAAGAATTTGTCTTGGAATAGAGCATGTTTGGTCAGTATTCTAATGCGAATTTGTAAATAAGAGGACAAAGTGAGAGATGTTTTTAAGATAGATTCAGGATCATTGCTATCCATCCATTTGTGAAAATTGGTCTCTCTTATTAACGTTATTACTGTGTACCATATGGTCAACTGATTAGTGTTGAAAATCCAATAAAAATAAAAAATTAAAATATTAAAATACAAGATATATATCTGGAATCAATTTAAAATTAGAATTTGCTTTTGTGTTTAACTTTGACCTGTTTACGTTAAGCAAGGTAAATGGTACTATGCCCTCGACCTCACTGAAACCACGTTGTGAGTTTCAGAGATAAAATAAAGTGCAATTGACTTTTAGTTATCCACAGTCTAGTTTATATGGGAGCTGCAAAAAAACCAAAAACGTCAGTTTTCATAGAAAAGTAGGTTTATTTAGAAAAGTACAGTATAAATAAAGTTGCCTTACTGACAATGGATGTCCTCACGCTCGTAGGGCTTCAACGTAAACAAAAGTGCAAATTTATTTTAAGGAAATGTGTATTTGCATATAAGCAATGTGTCACTCCAATTACCTTGACATATTAAGAGAAGTTTGGTAATAGGACTGAAATGGTGAATGTATGCTCTTGCACAGCTGTAAAAAGCAAATAACTTTATCTTGTTGATTTTGAAGTCATATGAGTGTGTTTTTCACTTTGGCTGAGATCATCAAACCCATAGGAAAGAATTGAGAGGCTATTGTGCATGTGTGGTAAAAAACTGTGCGGCCAATCGGTATCTCCATGGGGAGTGTTCAGCGCCTCCATGCAGACCCAATTTAATACACTGCCCCCTCCTCCCATTCTAATACAGTGCCCACAAATCCAATACACCACCCCCCTCCTTCCACGGACGCTCCTCTGATACTGCGAGCAGGAGGGAAGGGGGAGTGGCTGGCCTGCGGGAGAACGCGATCAGTCGTGGACGGGAAGACAAGAATCAGACAGGAAATATCTTTCCTGTCTTGTGGCTGGTCACAGCCACAACTCAAAGTGGCCCCAGGGCAGGTGGGCAGCAAATATAATCATTGTGAGTTGCATGCGGCCCGTGGGACGCAAATTGGACATACTTGTTTTGCAGGGATATTAAAGGACCACTCTAGGCACCCAGACCACTTCAGCTTAATGAAGTGGTCTGGGTGCCAGGTCCCTCTAGGTTTAACACGTTTTTTTAATAAACATAGCAGTTTCAGAGAACCTGCTATGTTTATAAATGGGTTAATCCAGCCTCTAAAGCCTCTAGTGGCTCATTGACAGAGGCGTTTGCGTTCTTCTCACTGTGAAAATCACAGTGAGAAGACGCCAGCGTCCATAGGAAAGCCGCGCATGCGCATTCAGCCGAAGAGGAGGAGGAGAGCTCCCCGCCCGGCGCTGGAAAAAAGGTAAGATTTAACCCTTTCCTCGTCATCCAGCCCGGCGGGAGTGGGACCCTGAGGGTGGGGGCACCCTCAGGGCACTATAGTGCCAGAAAAACGAGTATGTTTTCCTGGCACTATAGTGGTCCTTTAAGTGAATTCTAAATTACAGGGAATTAAATCTAAATGCAAAATTTTAAACTTTTTCCAGATTAGCTATTTTTGTCTAAATTAAGCAATCTTGATTTTAATTCAGTGTTTACTTAATAAGTGAATGTTATTTTGCTGAGTGGTAACATTTACACAGATGGAAAAGATAGATCATAGCATGGCAATAACAGCTTAGTGTAGATTATAGTGTAGCTTCCAAAACGTTACAAATATTATGAGGAATGCAGAAAACGTGTAGGCAATAAAAACAAACTGAGTTCTTTTTGATAATTATTAGCAAAACTAGGTTAGTGAATGGTCACTTACATATACATTTAAAATATGGAGCCCTGATTGTCTGCCATGTCCAATAACGACGGGCAGACAAACATTGATCTAATATAGGTATATATTATATATGTCAGTGGATATATAGCGGATCTCTATGTAGATAATTCAGGTTATCGGCTCTTGTAATTTTCTCCCATTAAGAAGTTTGCACAGTTTTTTTTTTCAATACAGTGGTACCCGGGTTTCCAAACGCCTCAGTTAACATAACTTTCGGTTTACAAATAAAAAATCCAGTGAAAATAATGCGTTGGTGTACGTTTTTTTTTCGCAATACAAAGCACGTTTCCTCAGGATGCATTGCGACTGGAAAGGTTTATAGCACCGCCTCCTGCATACTGGAGCCTGTGGGTAGCACGTGGTGTAGAGTGTGGAGGTGTTGGAACAGCTTTTGCATTGAGTTTTGGAGCCATTCTGGAATTTTTGCAGCTCCCTACCTTTCTCAAACTGTGGAAAGGTAGGGAGCTGAGCTTTGTCTTTGCATTGCCTTTTACTTTGTGTTCTGCATTGTGGGTTGGTTTCCATGCCAGCTCATTTTGACTTTTTTCTGATCTCCAGAATGGATTAATTGGTTTTCAATGCATTCCTATGGGAAACCGTGTTTCGGTTTACACATTTTTCGCAATAGAAAACGTCCCGGAAAACGCATTAAATTCATAAACCGAGGTACCACTGTAATTAGTACATTTTCATATGAGCATTGCAAAGGCTGGTCAATCCTGTGCTAATTAAAAAAGTGAGATAAAGTAAAAAGGACAGGATTGTATTTGCAAATTGAACAAGTTCTGAAGAGCACAGTGCAGAATGTTACTTGGAGAGTTTGGCTCAGGAGCACTGAGAGGGTATCCCAGCTAGGAAGTTGCATTGTGAAAATGATTTATTTTTTTGGCTCTTGACAGCTATATATCAACTGAATTAAGTTTAAAATGTGCAGCTGCAGGGAAAGACCCATTGTTGAATGTTACCAGCAACAATACATCATTTTGGATTGGATGAACATAGATTCTTGGTTCCACAGTAATAGCTCTTTTGGTAAAAGATAATTCTTTCATATTATATATGAAATATATGTTTCATTTAGTCTTTGAGTCCTGAGTCTCTGCATATAGAAGTCTATATTAAGTGGGTTTATAACTTCTATAAATAAAGTATTTTTGCTGCGTAGATTCCAATGCATATGACTTGAATCAAAGCAAAAAACAAAAAACAAAAACTCAGCAATTATGTTGTTTAAGAAGATTCCCTTTTGTAAATAGTTTCAAATGGAATGGGGCCTTTAGGATGCATACACCGACGAATACAGATGTTTGTGAATCACAAGTAAAGGAAACAGGAATTACATCAGTGGAAAAGACACAAAATCCACAATTCCTATAAACACAATAATGACAATGTCAGACATTTTTTCTTAATTTAGGTCTGTATTCAGTATACATTGAGTCTATCTGAATGTTACAAAATGTTTGCAAAAATAAAGGATCTATAAAAAAATAAATAAATAAAAATCCAAGTAACATTTCCCCCAATTTAATTTTCCATTTTAAACATCTAAATGTGAATACATCACTTAAATAATCTTAATGAACAATACACTACGAATTACAGCATCTGAACAAGCCAGCTTGCTCACTACCCTAATAGGGACATAATTGTCATTGGCAACCTGCAACCAGGTATTCCAAGCTGCCTGGCTGACATCCATGTTATGGGTCTTATTGCGGCATTCATATAAGTCAATCTCAGCAATGACAGGGTGCAAAAAGCACCATGGACTTTGCAATAATACAACATAACTATGGTACTTACCCTAACCGTTTAACATATGCAAAAAATATAAAACAAAATAAAGAAGCGGTTCTCTCTTGTAGGGTTTGCAACTTTCTGCTGCGAGCTCTGCCCAGCCTACGAAGTAGATGAAATATAACACTTGCTAGCCAATCATAGTCTTTGTGAGGCTTTAAATGGGACATTAAAGGGACACTATACTCACCAAAATAGCTTTAGCGTAATGAATAAGTTTTGGTGTATACTTCGTGACCCTGCAGTCTCTTCTTAATTCTCTGCCATTTAGGACTTAAATAATTTTGTTAATGCAGCCCTAGTACCACCTCCATGTGTGTGACTTACACAGCCCTCCTAAACACTTCCTGTAAAGAGTCATCTAATGTTTTAAGTCCCTTTGTTGCAACTTCTGTTTAATTTTTCTTTCTTATTTCCTGCACAGTTAATAGCTTGCTAGACCTTGCCTCCTGTATGTGATTAAAGTTTAATTTACACAGCAAGAGATAAACACATTTAAAGTAGGTTAACATCTGACTGAAAATTAAACTTTTTTTTTGCATGCAGGCTGTGTCAGTCACAGCGAGGGGAGGTATGGCTAGTTCTACATAAACAGAAACAAAAGTGATATCACTCCTAAATGGTAGAGAATTGAGCAGTGAGACTGCAGGAGCATGGTCTATATTTAAAAACTGCTTAATTAAAGGGACTCTCAAGGCAGAGGATTTTACTCACCTGGTTCCAGCGCCGGGAGCCTCATGAAGCCGCGTCCCCTATTTCAAAATGCCGAAATAGGCGGGTGCAAGCAGGGAGCAATCAGACGCTTCGCCGCACATGCGTACATACTTCATAGGGTGGTATTCATGCCGCCCTCTGAAGTCCTGAACGCACTACCTTCTCTCTCCTGCACACAGTGCCTTCTCTCTCCTGCACACGTCAGACGTATTTTCCATGTCAGACGTATTAAAATAAGTCTGACGTGTACAAGGCCTTTTTAGTGCCCTACATGATAGGAAGTCCATCTGGTGGCAGTCTGAGTGACGGTCACTGGAGGTATTCCTATCAATCAATGTAAACACTGTATTTTTTCTGAAAATACAGTGTTTACATTAGATTGCCTGCAGGGAGCTATAGTTCTCACCTGAACAACCTCATTAAGCTGTAGTTGTTCAGGTGACTATAGTGTCCCTTTAAGCTAATGTGGTTTTGGTGACTATAGTATCCTTTAAGAAAAGAACAGCCCCACTAACCAAGATGGTAGCCACCACTGTAAGTATAATAATAATACACACACAACCTCGAGAAAACTTACCACACATATCTTCACCCATCTTGATATACACATATCCCTTTGCACCCCATGTGGTACCCCAAGAGTTTTGCACTATCCAATAAGGGATGTCACCTGAAAAAAAAATAATCACACAAAGATAAGACAAAAGTGTTGTTCAAGTGGCAAAAAAGTCACAAAGCTATATATCTACCAAGACGCCAATGGATTCCATTCTTAACATGGTTTGTGGTTTATGTTACATAACTTTACAAGAGTGTTACAATGTGAAAAGAAGGTCAAAATTCTAACATTGGAGCAATCAACGTGGAAACAAATAAAATATTCTTGCTGATTCCATTGTATTTCCCAACACCTCCTACGTAATCCAAAAGGATGAGAAGAGACATGGCTCCAAGCCACAGTAAAGAAGAGGAAGGACTCCAAGTGACCAGGAAAAGTTGACTGAAGAAAAACGTAATGTTATAACAGAAAGGGAACAGAGAATGAGTTAAAGCTACTAGAGAAATGGGAAAGAAGCCAAACCAATGCATATTTATTTTCCAACCTTATAGATCTATTTTCCTAATTCTTGCAGACAATCTATTTTCCTAATTCTTGTAGACAAAGGTCTATGTAGCCCACATCCCAAACAGAAAGCATTGTTTTCAAAAGGTAATAATACACTTTTTCATGAAGCACTTCTCTCTCCAAGAGTACTCTGGGTGCTTTAGATAGCACACTATGATTTTAATGAATTAGGCTAATAATACCAGAATTAATTGCGTTTATGTTGTTAACCACAGAAGAATGAACGGCCAAGTTAACACTCCCAGGCGACCCAATGCCCTATTTTTTAATTTTTGGATAAGCTTTACAAATGATATTTTTCCTTTGAACAATTTCAAGAATGACAAAAGCCATGTAAATCACACTCTAACATAGATTATAGGTCCATCCAGATATTTCCATAAGAGAATGGATCACTTTTTCATCACATATGAAACAGAGTTAATGGTTTACGTACTAAACAGTGATTTTTATTGAACTCACAATGGAAATCCAAGATTCCGTCCAAAGTAACAGAGTTGAAAAAATCCTCAAATTCAGTTATTTTTCCAACTCTATTCCCCATTTTGCATATGTTTTGTAATTTACTGTTTATTTAAAAAAAAAAACACACTATTTTCTGAATAAATCCATAAACAGTGCATACCCATTAATAAATAACATTTACACATAGTGAATATAAAACATAATATAAGTATTACATAGTTACCTGTTTTATCATAACCAACGATTAGCACTGCATGATTTGCATGTCCACTGGAACAGTGATGCTGTATAACACCACCAAGGTAATCCTGCCAACTGACAGCATCAACTATTGCTGTGAGTGGACCGTAATTAATAAGAGTCTTCATCATTTCTTCTTCACAGCAACTAAATAAAAAGGATAATACTTAATGTCTGAAAAGAGTTGTATTCTCTTTCATTCACTGGAGCACTTACTATTTTAGTAGAAACACCAATTTTTATTGCTATATACATATTATTTTTCCTTGGTTGAGACTTTATTTGATGGGTTACACATCTATTAGGGTTATTCACTAAACTCTGAATTTTCACAAATAAAATTCAAATGGCAAAGTAGAGGCTAAGATAACTGATTTGGAAAAAAACCTCCAAGTCAGCAATGCTCATAGCTTGGCAAGGTGCTATTTTACCTTCCAGTGTTAAAGGACCACTATAGTGCCAGGAAAACAAACTTGTTTTCCTGGCACTATAGGGTCTTTAGGTCTCCGCCACCCTCAGGGTCCCACTCCCGCCGGGCTGAAAGGGGAGGAAAGGGTTAATCACGTACCTTTCTCCAGCACCGGGCTCCCTCGGCCCTGGGGAAATCTCCTCCCTCTTCTGGCGTCAGCGCTGAATGCGCATGTGGGGTAAGAGCCACGCCTGCATTCAATCAGTCCATAGGAAAGCATTTCTCAGTGCTTTCCTATGGACGTCAGTGTCGTCTCACTGTGATTTTCACAGTGAAAGGCGTGGAAGCACCTCTAGCGGCTGTCAATGAGACAGCCACTAGAGTTTCTCTGAAACTGCTATGTCTACAGCTGCAGTGTTAACCCTAGATGGACCTGGCACCCAGACTACTTCATTGAGCTGAAGTGGTCTGGGTGCCTATAGCTGTCCTTTAAGCCATTTTTTGAACTGCCCATTGCACAGCTTCGAAAATGTACATATCTTCACTTGCGTTGGGTGGCCAGCGAAAGGCTTGATGTGTCAGCTGATGCTCTCAGCCTATCACTGCCTCCCACTGGTTCCCAAGCATGATTATCTGAATAATGACTGCCTTGAATAATACTACTACATAATTAGTACTCATCCAACATTAAATGGAATGCCCCAACATTTTCTCTTGAATGCCTCTCCTTAAAGTTTCATTAACCCCTCTCAGAGTTAATCTGAAATGAGCACATAAATATCCTGTAAGCAACAATTAGCCTGATAAATATATAGTACAATATTTGAACCCTGCCATTATAAGAACACTGATACACACTCACCTGAAATCATATGCTTCATATCCCTTAATTGAAACACCAAACTCAGTTGGAGGAAAATAATGACATATCCCACTATGTGCTTTGAAAGGATATTCAGACGTTCTTACTAGCTTTGTTTGCGTCTAAAATAATGCAAGCAAAAAATGTTTATTTAGTTTGCTACACAGCATTGGAAGACACTTCTAAATATCCACTGCCTCCCACAAGTATATACTGTTGTCTTGTTCTATGCAATCTAATATTCTATAATTTACTATAACCTATTATCTGTAATTCACATTTATAAAATCTTAATGTTCTGTAATATATTTACAACTTATTGATCAATTATTGTTGAAATCAAATGTAAAGCACTCTGGATAAAAGTGAAACATAAGAATTGTTGAATAAACAGCAAAAACAAATAAATAATTAAATAAATAAATAAATGACAGATCCAATATGCAAACAGGCATATACTTAAATTTATACATTTTAGGTGATTATTCTAGCAAACGTTCAAATTATCCTGCATACCTACCTAACACAGGCTCTGACATTTATGTGCTTTATTAACACACGTCTTTAGCTTATTGGAAAACTAACGAATCACTAGTATTTGATGGGTTACACTAGAACCAGGGTTTTCATTGAACTTATGTGATAGAATGCCCAAATATTTTGTTGTGGTGAGTGATTTATGCACAGTCAAATTTATTGAGCAATAATATCCTTAAAAGGACAGATCTAATTTTTTTTAGGTCCTATTAAATTTTTTGCCTAAAAAATCTATTTAAATATTATAAAACTTACCTGAAATCCAGCGACAGGCCAAGTTCTCCCAGTGCACTTTACACCTCTTCATTTGTGGCGCCTTGTCATCTTCTTCTTGCCTTTCGGCCAGTCAAATGATGCTCATAGTGTAGCATTGATTGGCTAAGCACCAGTGGGTGGATGGGGGTGTACAAGGAGAGGGAATCTCATGGATGGAGGTTGGGAGGGAGAATACAAAGACTAGCACAGTTGCATAGGGAAGTAATATTTTAAATGAAAAGCAGACACTGGTGAAGAGAGCATGGTAAGGAGGCAGTGCTAATTCAGGAACATCAAGAAGACTGTGTGCGCATGAGTCGCACACACAATCCAGAGGCTTCACTTGCAGGAGCACTAACAAATTACTTCTGTTGCTAGCGTGTAGTGTGTTCTGACAACAGATGTTATTTCTGCACATAATTGACATCTGGCAGTACGGAACAGAGTTCTGGGTGTAACTATCCCCCAGCACGCAAGTTCAAATATCTTTGGATATGCAATATTTAAAGCAGAAACATTGCAAATGCAGATTCCTTCCTCCATGACCACTTTAATAAGCAGAAGTGTTCATGGATGTTGGAGTAACTACCTTAACAGGCTATTTTTTTAAAATATATATTTTATGTATTACATTTTATATTTCATTGTTTAATATATATTCTTTTCATTCTTTCCACCTCCTTTCTATGCTATATGAATGTTGTAAATATTTATTACCTATTGGGGACATTTGTAATGGTTGTCTGGACTTCAATTACTCCCTGGATGCACTGAGAGCTTGCTAATATATTGTGAAGCACAAAGGCTAGCTGATCTGTTATACATCACTAGAGGTAAATTTCCGCCGGGAGAATGGAACACAAAAAATGGCTGCTGGAACGCAAGAACACGGAAGTGATGCGGTACACTCTCGCAAGCACCAACATCGAGTGATACCGATATGTCGAGACACACAGGGGAGGGTTTAGGCACTTATTTGTCGCCAAAATTGATTTAAAAGGTGGACATCTATCATACCTTTGTTCCTGAGGAAGACGTTAATCTGAAACGCATTGTGCTGCTTGTGGATACCATATGGTGACAGTTTATGCACCTTAATGTAAGGCTTTATTACTTTTGTTTTAAGAAATGTTTATGATACTATTGTGATGTATCCTGCCTTTCTTCTGCTTTGTCTCTGAGGAGATAGCTGCTGCTTACTTTGCATCCAGACTCCAGTGTCACATGCAAGTTTTTTTTAACCTGAGCCAGTTAAAGAAACAGGCTCAATAAAATGTGAATGTAATACCAACTATTATTATACTTACCTGTTTGTAGTAAGAGCTCGCTGTGGTAACCCTATGAGAGTTTTCCTTTCTCTCTCTACCTACAGAAATATATGATCCGCCATCAGGGTATATTTATATCCATTATTTTCTCACTTTATACACATGGTGTATGTGACTGATATTTAAAGCTTTTTAAGTGTGTGTTTTTATGATATTTTGCACTGTTTTCTATTTTTTGCACATTTTCTATTTTAATAGGGCTCCATTGGTCACACGTCACTCATGCGCCCATATCTGGAAATTTTCTGCTAGAAAAATTCAAAGCCAACACAAACTCACTCATTGTAAGCTTGTTTGAGTAGGGCTTTCTATACCACTTGTGTCTGTTTGCAGTAAATATATAATAATCAATTAATAGTATTCCTTCTAAGGAGTTGGTGTGAGAGCTCCATACATGCTAATTTTTGATATACTAATAATGTAATCTGCACCTTTTCAATGATGAAGCTGTAAGACTAAGTTTAGGAAGACTTTAATCCATAAACATATTATAAATAATAAATATACAGACACAGACACACACACACAAACATATCTCTATGCATATAAATTGTAACAAGAATGTACAACCTGATTTAACCACTTTAACGCACTGACAGTGGATCCACCGTTGCAGCCTCCATCCATGTAAGAACAGTCAATGACCTGCTGTACACTGAGATCCTCAGGCTGATGACCTTGGATTGCATAAGCAGACTGCACGGCCCCAACGACACTAAAAGCCCAACAGCCTCCGCACTAGAAAAACAACAACAAACAATAAGAATGACACTGTAATCATCACATACAACACTCTTTGACAACTTATTTCTGGTGAAGTATACACATCAGTTTAATAGATACAATTGAGACGTTTAATAGATACGATTGAGAACATTACACAAGAGAGCATTTAGCCGTAGTAAAACGTTTTATGGCTCTTTGCTGCCATCTCATGTATAAATGGGGTACTACCACTAAGTTTCCAATTTAATGCATTTTTGAAGTTCTCTCAAAATTGTTAGATACAAATTTAACATTTATCCAAAGCAAATGCTAATATATTTGCTGTACGTGAATCTCAAAATACATTTAACCTCTCTTTACCAATTCTGGCCAGCTCATACTACCTACACTCAGTATCAATCAAGTGTCCAGACCATCAACAAATACCTAAAACTCAATGAATTCATTATCCATCTAAATGATTTGATAACTACCCATGCATGATCACTTAACCCAAATTGCCATTCCACTGTCCATGCCAGTGTTTGAGTGCATAGGCTGAGTCTCTGAAATAATTGTATGTGCTTTTTTCAGTTGATCTACACTTTCTGTAGAGACAGAATATATTTATCAGACAATGAGGATTGCGATATACCATATTAGCCAACAATATTTTTATTATTACAGTATGTTATCTACAAGGTCAGCCAATACGATATTTAGGGGTCTCACAGAATTATATGATAGCTTAAAAATCAATAAAATATAGGAATAAAAACAATGAATTGGCATGCAGCAATTTATACAGACTTAGAATAAAAAAATAAAAAATGTTTTTCCAAGAAAGAACCTATCAATAAATATTAACTCTTTGCTCCAATATGAAAGCTGATAGCAACCAAATATATATGGTTCTAACATACTATGTATGTACATAGGTATTTATTAAGGAAAAATCTTAATAAGTAAATACACAAATAAGAATAAGTATTTTATAATTACTTACATTCAATTGATTTTTCACTTCCATAACAACCTTCTTGTCTCTCCAGTCAAACCGCAATGGTAGAGAGCTTTCTGATGAAGAAGATTTGGCAGACTTTATGTAATTCCCAGTGGAATGGCTTTTCAAATATGTATCTAAATGGAAATATGAATATAATGTCGTTACATTCTAATTTATTCATACGTCTAATGCATGTTCAGAAATAATTAGCAGTTCCCAAAAGAACAGATGGGAAATGCTACCTGGTATAGAAAGTAGAACAGAAAGTAACCTTGTGATGATTAACCAGTACTAAAAAAATACATTGTCAATGGAAAATTATCATTTAAAAAAGGCATTATTGATCTGTGTAGTGATCACTCCCAGATATCAATTAAATAGGAGGAGTAGAAAAAGGGCTTTATTAAAGTGTTTGCCAACTAGCTCCTTAATAACCCTTTCAGTCACTTACCTGGGCCCAACGGTGATGTCCCTCCACGCTGGCTCAGCTCCGCCCACCCTCCTCCCCCGTCGCTGGCCACCGGCGCAGGAGACCTAATGTGTATGCGCGGCAATTAGGATTAGGATCTCCCCATAGGAAAGTATTATTCAATGCTTTCCTATGGGGATTCTGGCGACGCTGGAAGTCCTCACGCAGAGCATGAGGACGTCCAGCGTCATTTAGAAGTCATCTAAGAACCCGCAAGTCCCTCTAGTGGCTGTCTGGTAGACAGCCACTAGAGGAGGAGTTAACCCTGCAAGGTAATTATAGCAGTTTATACAAACTGCAATAATTACATACTCAGGGCTAAGGGTGAAGTGGTCTGGGTGCCTACAGTGTCCCTTTAAGTGGTTTGGAAAAAACAAACTGTAAATGTCTAAAAAGGCTACTGCATATAAACTGAAAAAAAAAGCATGTAGAGTAAATTTCGGGACCTGCAAATTATTTCTATAGTTGACTTAAGGGTTAAGCCCTGGACCAACAAACCTGGTAGGTCCAATTGGTGTATTCCTTTTTCTTTGCATGTAGGCATGTTCATACTGCATTCAGGGTTATTCACTAAACACCAATTTTTTCCTACTGCCAGAGATATCAGAGGTGAGAGGGTTAAACGTGTGGCAGCTGGCCAGCGCTTGCTAACTAGCCACCACATTTAAAAAGTGAAAAAATAAAAAAGGGAATTTGTAAAATAACAGGGAAGGAGAAATTTGGTGTGGGCCCTAAAATTAAATAATGTGGGTGGACATATGGTAGTGGGATAGGGCTACGTATTAAAATACAGGTGGGGGCCTATTGTCACCCTAGCCCGCACCCTTAGTTGGCTATTAATTTATTATCCAAGGGGGAATCTAATGTCCTTTTATAAAGGCTTCCCCACACTTTAACATTTCTATAGAATGTAAGCCAATCTGTCAGGTAAGTACCACTTCCCTCTACACTTGTCATTGTCACTTGGAATATTTCATTTATTCAAAAGCCACTCCTGCAAGCCACATGCAAGCCATATTATTTAATTTAAAGCACCCACCAGATGCGCACGGGTAGTGGCCCTGGGGTAACCTGATTCTGGTCTGGAATGGAGCAGTTTTAAAGCTACCGTGAACAGCTACTGGCTGCTTACTGTTTATTAGATACGGCATGGCAGGTAGGGGCTTAAGGGAGTTTTAAACCCACTTAAAGTAATATGGGGGCCATATTGACCCATAGCCATTTAAAAAAAATTTTTTTAATGTGGTGGGTGTCTAGCAAGCGTTGTCCTGCTGCCACATAGTTAACGCGGCAGAGATATTTCTATTTAAATAATTTGCCTGCGTGCCAGGTTTTTAAAGGACCACTACAGTGCCAGGAAAACATACTCGTTTTCCTGGCACTATAGTGCCCTGAGGGTGCCCCCACCCTCAGGGTCCCACTCCCGTAGCGCTGAAGGGAGATGAAAATCACAGTGAGAAGTGCGGAAGCGCCTCTAGCGGCTGTCAATGAGACAGCCACTAGAGGCTGCATTAACCTTAAAGTAAACATAGCAGTTTCTCTGGCACCCAAACCACTTTATTAAGCTGAAGTGGTCTGGGTGCCTATAGTGGTCGTTTAACAATCCGAGTCTAGATTTCAGCAATCCAGCAGCTTTTTGTCTGGCTGAAATCCGGACCAAATTTAGGCTTGTGCTCAGCCTGCTCTGCAACATCCGGACAGTTAATTAGTGTGAAGAGTGTCTGAATTTTGACGTTCCGAATGGTCCCAGATGGATTTTTGCCATTCATTACTGGACTATTTGAACTTTAGAGAATAACCTTGATAGACTGAGAAGTAATTATATTGTACCAATATTTTTTTACAGATAATGTCCACAATGATTAAAATATACACAATGCCAGTTTTAATTCAAAGTAAAACAATCCCATGAAATGCCATATACAGCGTAACGACAGAAAGATGTTACAACAATAGGCGTCAAGAAGAGGGCCATTGTGATCGTTTTTCATTATGCATGCCAAAAACATGTAAAAAACAAAGGCAGGAGTGATTGTACTACAGGAAAATGAAGCATTGATAGAGAAAAAGAAAGGCTACAATAATCACAGCTTTACACAAAGGATAAAAACACCATCAGGCCAGGAATAAAATCACAGCGGTGTGTAAACATTAAAGATTGAATAACTCAGGTTTTAACTGGATATGCCACAGAATGTAGTATATGGAGTTTGACATGACAGATGTTTAGCATATTAATTTGGTGCTAGTTTCTGATCTGTCTGAGAACTTTCAATGTTGAGTGATATCAATGAATCTATACCTGTCAAAAATGGTGTACTAAAATAATTGTACTTTGAAATGATCATTTTACTAACAAATTAATGTAAACTTTTAAATAATTATATACAAGGATCACTAAGTTGTGACACCTCTGTGTTAGACCATTTTGCAGATAATGCAAAACATATAACCAACAACAGAGAAAGAACATACATGCATAACTCCTGCTCAGCAAGGCAGCAAAAAAACAAAGTGGCTGAATAATTTCAGCAAAAAAGTTACCTCGTATAGGAGTAGACGGTACATGCATGCTTCATATGTCATGAACACGCATGCTACATCTTAATACTTTCCTATGTATATACACGCACACACAAAATGTATATAGTTAACCATGTGCTCAATATAATGGTAATTACTTAAGTAAATTTACTTAACATTTTAAAATTTTAATCCTATTACGTTTTACACTCCACCTCCTATAGACTGTAAGCTCGTTTGAGCAGGGTCCTCTCCAACCTATCATTCCTGTAAGTTTTCTTGTAATTGTCCTATTTATAGTTAAATTCCCCCCTCTCGCATTGTAAATCACTGCGGAATCTGTTGGCGCTATATAAATGGCAATAATAATAATAATAAAGATAATATTTCAATATAACTTACTAGTGAACTCTTCAACAGATAAATCGGAAAACTGATTGATGCCATAATATGCTGCACTGATTTTATTTGAAGAGTGAGAAAACATGTTCAGTTGCTTATGCCTTGCTAAACTTTTCTAAAAGAAAAGAAAAAGATAAAAGTTTGTTACATGCAAAAATTTTTGGATAAAACAAACACAAAATATCAGCAAATCTATTGCATCCAGGGGCCACCTGGCACCATAACAACTTCATTTAGATGAAGTTGTCTTGGTGCCTATAGTGCTCCTTTAAAACACATGACATAGATGGATAAAATACAAATGAAGTACCACTGAGCAGAGTCCACGAGAAATGAACTCTACCCAGGGGCACAAGAAGATGGGCTAAAGGGGTAGCTAAACGGGCTTAACCTTACAAAATATTACCAAAAGAACATAGAAAGTAGTAAGAGGAAATAATCCCTACTCAGAGGGAGAATTCCTCTACTACAGCTACCCCAGCGCAAAATATATGTGTGTGCTAATTGTATCACACATAGACTAAAAAAATATATGTACCTATAAAAAATATCTTTATTAAACACCACTAAATTCTATATACCCTAACCCAAACAAAAAAGAAGGAAGAAAAAAATACTGAAATGCAGACTGAATTCGGCTGAAAAAACACAGTACTGAATAGGTCTGTAACGAGTTCCAATATAGATTGTTACAAGATGTAATAAATAGAAACAATGTAACAATACAGTGTATCAGGATCAGACTACAGCAAACAAGTCAAAATACTTCTGTGCTATAACCCTATGTATCAGTGTCCAGTGTACTAGAAATAAGTAGATAAAAAATAAATAGATTCAATTAAGCCCTCTCAAAAAAATACAAAAAAGAAAAAAAAAAAAAAAGAAAAAGAGAATCCTCACTAGTTCCTTCATGTTCCTAAATAGGCAATGAATCCATTGAAATGCAGAGGAAATCGAAAGGATAGTAAGACGAGAGGTCAGAGAGACTGATATAAACAGTAGATAGTAGGGAAGAAAAGAAGCCTTCCATTCAATAGTCTCGAAGTAATCAAGAACAACCTCAATTGAACTAATGACCGGCCGGTCATAGAGGTTACTAAGTACAGAGGACAGGAGTGAAAACAAAATAGACTAAGGGGCTAAGCACATGCTGCTAACAGAATTGCCCAACGCGCGTTTCGGCGGACAAACCGCCTTTCTCTAGGGCATACACTAGCATTTCCCCGCTCGAAATCCCCCCTTAAAAACCCAGTACCTCCTCCTATTCTAGAGATGGGGACCAATCAATCGCTCATAGGGGCGTGTCCATCCGTGCTCTCTCCAGGGGGAGTGGTTTGCATTAATCAGATAGTCAGAGTCCTACGCACATGCGCGTGGACTTAGGAGAAACGAGGAGGTAGAACGGACAGTGTCCACTGAGTATTCTACGCATGTGCAAAGACTTAGAGGGAAAAACAGAAACGAACAGCATTAAGCACAGTACTGGTGGTTTGGATTTTTAAAAGTAGTTGAAGCCTGATAAATCCACCCAGTAACGTTCAAATAATGTGATCCACAACTGTTTACATAATTAATGATTCCCTATTCATAAGAATTAAAGGGGTAGTCCCTCAAAGCCAACTTTCAGCATATTAAACACATTATTCAGGGGAGGGAGATGGAGAAAAAGGGGGGGGGAAGGGGGGGAGAGGGGGAGGAAAGAGAAGGACATTTATTAGAGATGGAACAATATAAACATAAATACATAATTAAAAATAAACAATAAAATGTGTGACTAAATAGATAAGCCAACACCATATATATATGGTCATTATGTACAATTATAATTATGCTTCTAATTCTAATCAGCAGATCATGTTGAAAGTACAGATTATGTAAAGTACTATTAAAGTCAGTATGTACAGGCTCTAATACACGATGCAAACTTTATAGAGATTTATTCCCCAATAAATGGCTAAATAAAAGGGGCAAATGAAAAGCCCTCATTTAAGCCTAGGGGTTGAAGTGTCTTTAATTCATATATCCATCTAGACTCTCGTTGTCTCAGAGTCTTATCGAAATTTCCCCGTCTGGGATTTCTCTTCACTAGTTCCAATCCACAGAAATGAAGATGGTTCGAGATACCGTGATGGAATTCTTTTAAATGTCTGGAAATCGGTGTCTCAAGATGATTCCTAGGAGATCTTACATGGTCAAGTATTCTTTCCTTAAAGGCTCTAAAGGTCTTTCCCACATATTTCTGTCCACAAGAACATGTCAGCAAATATACGAGGCCCTGGGTATTACAATTAAAGAAGCTCTTGATTTTAAATGCCCCTTGGCCTTGACTATCACTTATTATCTTAGAACCTTTAGAAATATACTTGCAGGCTACACACCTGCCACAACAATAGGTGCCACATGGGGGAGTTCCCAGCCAAGAGGGACGTATCTGTGACTTGATGGAAAAATGGCTCGGAACCAACAGGTCACGAATATTACGTCCCCGTCTTGCTGTAATATTGACCTGTGGGCCCAACACCTCCTTGAGATGTACGTCATTTAATAAGATGGGCCAAAATCTATCCAGGGATCTTCGTACCTCTAGCCATCCTGTATCATATGTCGCAATCATGCGAATATTGCCTGTTTCCCTAGTCTCACACTTAGCTGGACGGTCATTTAATAGTTGATTCCTTTCGGTTAAGAGTGCTCTTTTATATGCCCGCTTCAAACAGCGATTCGGATACCCTTTCTCCTTAAAGTGAGTCCTAAGTTGTTTAGCTTTCATTTTGAAATCTTCAATGTCGCTATAGTTCCTCCGAAGACGAAGGTATTGACCTACCGGAATACCCTCTTTAAGAGGTCGTGGATGATAGCTCTCCCAATGTAGGAGGGAATTAGTAGCTGTCTGTTTCCTAAATAGGGTGGAATCGAAAGTCCCATCTTCCTTGATGGTAATAGTAACATCTAGGAAGTTAATAGAACGTCCTCCGAACTCCGATGTAAAACGGAGATTCTCGTCGTTCTGATTAAGCAATCCTACTAAATCAGAGAATTGTTGGGGAGTGCCCTGCCACACAATAAGAATGTCATCAATATAATGACCCCACCATAAAATGAGGGGTAGATATTCTAACATGACATCGGAGGCATAGATCGATTGTTCCCACCACCCCAGGTGGAGGTTCACATATGAGGGGGCACAAGGTGTCCCCATATCGGTACCTCTCACCTGGTGGTATACTTTCCCATTAAAGAGAAAGTAATTATGGGACAAAATAAACCTCAAAAGACGTAAAACAAAGGTTGTGTGTGGACCATCATCAATGCCTCTTTTGATCCCTACTATCTACTGTTTATATCAGTCTCTCTGACTTCTCGTCTTACTATCCTTTCGATTTCCTCTGCATTTCAATGGATTCATTGCCTATTTAGGAACATGAAGGAACTAGTGAGGATTCTCTTTTTTTTTTTTTGTATTTTTTTGAGAGGGCTTAATTGAATCTATTTATTTTTTATCTACTTATTTCTAGTACACTGGACACTGATACATAGGGTTATAGCACAGAAGTATTTCGGCTTGTTTGCTGTAGTCTGATCCTGATACACTGTATTGTTACATTGTGTCTATTTATTACATCTTGTAACAATCTATATTGGAACTCGTTACAGACATATTCAGCACTGTGTTTTTTTCCGCCGAATTCAGTCTGCATTTCAGTATTTTTTTCTTCCTTCTTTTTTGTTTGGGTTAGGGTATATAGAATTTAGTGGTGTTTAATAAAGATATTTTTTATAGGTACATATATTTTTTTAGTCTATGTGTGATACAATTAGCACACACATATATTTTGCGCTGGGGTAGCTGTAGTAGAGGAATTCTCCCTCTGAGTAGGGATTATTTCCTCTTACTACTTTCTATGTTCTTTTGATAGATGGATAAAACTTTGCAATTATGGGGAGTTCAAAAGTGGAGCAATCACAGGCACATGAGGGGTTTTGTGCCTGATCTGAAAAGTGTGGGATATATGGAAAAGGGGCAGTCACCAAAGCAATGTGCCTGAAGATTCCACTGATTTCCATGGTGACTACCACACTTTTCAGAACACAACACGTTTTATACATAACCCCCTTTAAATTCTTTAATAAATGGGACAACAGACAATATTTCTACAGGCATTTGTGGAATTTGTATGGACTCTCCTGTATACTTAATTAGCAATATTTGAATGAATGTTGTCCTTGTTTATCTGTGGCAATATCCATCTATGATAGTATAGCTATTTAGTGATATTATGTGGTCAGAAAAACTCTAACAAAATATAGAGAAAATACAAACAATACATATTGCATTCAAACAATACAATCAAACATACATACATCTGGAGAGATTATGGCAAACTTTATATTAAACTATCAAAATCTCTGACTTACTTGATCCACTGCTACCATGCATAATTAAAGCTGAGTAAAGCATATACTGTAACATTATGAGTTAAAACAAAAGGTATCACTGCACTGATAGAATACACTATCACACATAGGAAGTAAAGGGTTAGAATTTTCTGTAGGTCACTACCATGAATACTTTGAATTTGTCCTGGAATAGCAGGCTCCCCGGGGGGTACTTCCTGTGATATCTCTCCATGAATTCCAGAAATGTGCTGTTGTGGTTGGTGTTGTTGATGCTGAGAGGGAGCTGTCTGTCTGTGTCTCTGGTGCTGGCTGCTGTGCTGTGTCCATCATTGTACAGGCTGTGTGAGGACTGCTCCTTGTGGGATATTAGGAGAGGTTCGGTTATAGAACACAGCCCTGCAATGCAGCACACCAGGCTGAATCTCATGTTAAGTAATGCCTGCATGGCACGTCATGTCGCCATGTTAGCTGCACATACAGGGGAGGCAGCAGCAGATGAGGAAGTGAATTGGGAGCTGAGATACAGTCACCGCGAGATGCAGACACAATAACACTGTTTCACTTTCACTTTGTGTATTGTGCATCGACAAGCGTTACCAAAGATTTACTGTCATTTTCAGTACCTAAAAAGTAAAGGAAGCTGTCATAACGCAGGATTATTTGCGAAATTTTAAGGACATGTTAATTAAATAGGGAACACCTCTCAAACCAGGCTAAAACAATTTACTAACGCAGAAATGTTTGCCTACAAGAATTCACTATTTAGTAAATCATTACTTTCATTACAGTTTGGAGATAATAGGTCACTCCATGTCAAACCTTTTTTTGAAGTATTCTGTTTGTCCACTAAAAAGGTATCACTTAATACTGCAATACTCTGGTATTTTGACATCTTGTCTATTGTTGCTCTATAAATTCATCTGCAACTGCTTCATATTTTGTTATAGCTCACCTAAAAATAAGGTTTAGTCTGGGAGTATCTAACTCACTTTAGGTAAGGCTTAGATGTAGCATTTGTGGAGATGTGATAGAAGTAACATTTTAATAAAATTGTGTGAATTCCATAATATTGTGGGAGATTTCAGAAATGTATTTTTTATTAGTTGAAGATAGATTTCATAATATAATTTCAATTAATCCATTTGCACAATTTTATATATAATTTCTACTATTAAGATTCAAGTTTTATTTTCTCTGAACCTACTGTGTAGTAAATTCACCCAGGGCTTACCCACCAATTTTGTGGTGTTAGAACAACTGAGCCCTTCTGCAGGTCTTGACTTACTACATTTATTAGTTTTTACTTTTTACATACACATTGTAATTTTGCAGTTTATTTCTAAAATTTCATGTGTGCCACTAAAATGATCCTAACTGTACTCAGCAACATGAGTACAACAAAATGTATGTATGCCTTAGTAGAGTTTCAATCTTAAAGTGACACTATAGTCACTAAAACAACTTCATCTCATTGATGTTGTTATGGTGCAAGGAAGACCCTGGAGGCACTCTTATCTCAAGGGCTTAAAGCGCTGTTGAACGGTTTAACCTCAAAGTTGCCTCCAGCAGTGATGTCAACTACCCCTTCCAGCATCTGGCTTCTGAATTTTCAGATTCAGGAAGCATAAAGTGCCGCTGGGCAGTGGCGCCACTGATAGGCTGAGAGCAACCTATTGTGGGGGCCCTAAATTACAATACAGGGGGAGCTACTGCCTCCCCCAACCCCCACCCATGAGCGTCAGGTAGGGTCCCTAAATGACAATGAGGGAGGAACTATTGTCATCCCCCGGCCCCCACCTATGAGCGGCATTCGGGCCCTAAGCTACAATGGAGGGGGACCTATTGTCCCATCCCCGTTACGCCCCACCCATGAGCGGTGGGTGGATGCCCTAAGTTACAATAGTGGGGACCTACTGCCTCCCCGCAGACCCCACCTATGAGAGGCATTCGGGCCTAAGTTACAATGGAGGGGGACCTATTGTCCCATCCCCCTTACGCCCCACCCATGAGCGGTGGGTGGGGGTCCTAAGTTACAATAGGGGGGGACCTACTGCCTCCCCCTAGGCCCTAATTATGAGCAGCGGGTGGGGGCCCTAAATGACAATAGGGGGAGGACCTAAAGTCCCCACTGGCCCCGTTTCATGAGCGGTGGGTGGGGGCTCTAAATGACAGTAGGGGGGAGGATCTCTTGTGTTCTCCCCGGCCCTCCACCCATGGGCTACGGGTGTGGGTTAAATAACCCCCCCAAGGTGACTAAGGTCCCTAAAAATAGTGATGGGGTAGCAATTAAATTAAATACCTGTAAAAAAAATCTTTTTTTTTTTCTAAAACCTTCCTTTTTCAACCCCCAAAAAGGACAAATAAAAAATTCATAATTACCATCGAACTTATAAAATAAAAAAACCCCAAGCGCAAAAAACCCAAAAATAAATAAATCACAATGCTAAAAAATAATCCATCCTCACCCACCGAGGGCATCGCCCAGCCTTCCCATGCCCTGCAACTTGACTCAGAGCGCTGTGATTGTTTTAAGCCAACCAATAAGAGTGCTCTGATAGCTAAATCTTGAGCCTTGCAAGTAACCAATAGGGTAAGGCTCAAGATTTTCATGTCAGCGCACTCTTGATTGACTTAAACCAATATGAAGTTAGCAAGTATGATTTTATTTTTTTTACGGGTATTTAGTTTTATTGCTTCCCCCTTGACTATTTTTAGGGTGATGGGGGTAGGTAGGTTTTTATTTTATTTTAGGGGTGGGTGAGTAGGGGCTTGAAGACCCCTAGTTACCTTGGCCCTTTAGGGGTATTTTACCCCCCTATTGGCGCTTGGGGCCCCCACCTGCGGCTGATGGGTGGGGGCTGAGGGATGCTGAGAATAGACAAGGGGATTCTGAGCTAAACTAGCATGTTGCTACCATCTACTGGCTGTTTTCAGTATGACAAGCCCCTGTCATACTAAAAAATAACCAATGCCGTTACACTATGATCGGTGCTGTTTAGACCCTCTGGTTTAATGGGACAAGCTATTCACAGAGAATCACCATCAGCTCAGCCATGTTACTCTCAATCAGTTTAACCCCTTAAGGACCAAACTTCTGGAATAAAAGGCAATCATGACATGTCACACATGTCATGTGTCCTTAAGGGGTTAAATGGCTGTGTGCTGTGTTCATGTTGAACATTACATACAGCTTATTTGTCAGTCTGGGGTTGATAACCTGGGTCTCCCTTGTTTCAGTTGGGATTTAACCCTGCTCATGCCATATTGCTGTCAATGGCACTCGGTACCAAGAGCTGAGTGACAACTTTAAATACTAATTTTAAGCACAGTCGACAGAGGGGAGCCACTGGTATCATTAGGTACAAGCAGTGAAAGAATCCCTGCTGGTAAAATACTGCATGATGTAATTATTCCGTCATGGTTCTTTGAGGAAAATAATAATTTATTCATGCATCCTTAAGAGGTTAAAGTATAGCAGGAGAGGCTGATCAGTAGATTTCTAAGCTTTTAGTGCACATCCTCAAATCAAATCATGGATTTCTAAGATTTATATTTCAGGTATTAGCTTTCTACTTACCGTATATACTCGAGTACAGCTCCACTGTAAGTCTCGTGAGAGCCGCGGCGTCTGAGCGTTGCCACGGTAACCCGCACACAGACCGCGAGACTTACAGTGGAGCTGACCGGAACAGAGGAGAAGGGAGCTGACAGGAGCTGCTGTAAAGGTAAGTAACAGCTTGCTGCCAGCCCCCCCCCACTGCACAGCCCATGCACTGGACCACCAGGAAATAATATAGCCCCCCTCCCTGGCCATGTATCAAGCAGGGAGGGGGGGGCTAAAAAAATAAAATAAAAATGTTAATAATATTATAATGAAATAAAATAACAATATAATAATATTAAAAAAAAATAATAATATTAAAATAATAATAAAAAATGAATAATAAAAATGCCCACCCCCACCAAGGTTACACACTCTGCATCACATACACAAACACACTCTGCATCACATACACACACACACACACACACTGCATTCATACACACACACACTGCATTCATACACACACACTGCATTAAATACACACACTGCATTCATACACACACTGCATTATATACAAACACTGTATTATATACACACACACACTGCATTCATTATATACACACACTACAGAAACACACACACACACACTCTGCATTATATACAAACACACACTGCATTTTATATACACACACACTGCATTCATTACATACACACACTACACAAACACACACACACTCGGCATTCATTATATACACACACTGTAAATACATATTCAATTAATATAATTTTTTGGGGATCTAATCTTATTTAGAAATTTACCAGTATCTTCTGCATTTCCCACCCTAGTCTTATACTCGAGTCAATAAGTTTTCCCAGTTTTTTGGGGTAAAATTAGGGGCCTTGACTTATATTGGGGTTGACTTATACTCGAGTATATATGGTATGCTGAACACTACCATATTTCACGATGACACATAAAACTGTGTTTCAGGATCGTGCAGGTTAAGAGGGAAGGACAAAAAGTGAGTTATACATAGTGTGGTAAACTGTTCAAAAATGCATGAACTTGCCCAGGAAGTTTTATAAATACACATCCCCGTATGATAAGGAAAAACAGGTTTGCTACTTGGTCTGGTTTGCAAGGCCTTCTGGCCTGTTTATTTCCAGTAGAATTTCAGCAAAGAAACACACCAAAAAACAGCAATTATGTCAGCACCCAATAGACTTAGCCATCTACCTTATACCAAACCATAAAACCAGTTCTCAGTCTCCCATTCAGATCAAAGCACCACAGAAATAGTTTAGAACAGTTACAGACAGGTGTGCATATAAATAACCAACTGAAAGACTAGCTGTTTTACACAGTCATTTTAATGCTCTAAAACTCCACCCAAACAACCCAAAATTCATAATAGGAGAAAGAACCAAGGCTAGTTTATGATGCAACGCATTTGTGACCAAGGCCTTTATGGCACTTTTACCATGGGTTCATTCTACCAAAATTTCACCCATACATATGTATAATTTTTATAGGGCTTTTTAAAATATCCTATATGTATACATAACACAATATTAAATCGCCATTAAATATTTAAAAAAATAGAAAACAAATGAAGAAACCAATTTTTTTCTCAGTTTTACATTTAAAGGGTTAATCCAGTCTCTTTTAAATGTTGCATTGTGTATTTTATTTCTTACTTTGTTTTTCAGAGTACTTCTTATTTAGTACCCCATGTTTTTTGCTTAATTTTTTTTTAAATTATAAAAAACTTGTGGTTTGTAGTGACTCACCTAAGAAGGCGGACAACACTTGACATCCCGACCTCATCAACGAAAAGCTTGATATCTTGTCCAGGCTGGACAGAAATTGCCAGTCGACCCTGTCGAAAGCCTTTTCTTTGTGCGTGGAGAGAAGAAGCGTCTGTTGTTGGCGGGATTGCTCGAAGTGGACTGCATTAAGAACTCTGATGGTGTTATCCTTAGCTTCGTGCCTCGGGAGAAAGAATCTTTGACCTGGTTGCACT